TGTATAATAAGCTTGCAAAATTTTTTTTTTAAATTCTTTTTTTTTATCAGTTTTAAGATTAAGTTCTTTTTTATGGATGATAGTATAACAGGGTTCCCACTCTTATAACAAAGCAAAAATTACGAACTTTTCTGAAAAATTAAGGACCTTAAAAATAGTATTGTTTATTATCAAATACCACCAGGGACAAAGCCAATTATCCGTTCTTAAAAAAGAAATTCTATGTATAGAAAAAAATAACAGAAAATAATTTTATTATAATGTAAGTACTGATATAATTGTATTAATTAACAGGGCTCGCCAAAGCAGGTTCTGACAATTTTCGCAAACCCGGAGTGTTTTTTTTTTTTTTTTTAAATATTTTCAGATTAATGCGTTTTCCAATTTTAATGATTTCATTGAAATTGAATTGTAAAATTAAGATTTGCGATTTTTTTAATTTGCAATTAAGATTTGAAAAAAGAAAAGAGTAAATAAAAAAATTTAGGAGAAACAATGAAAAAATTATTAAAATTTTTTGTATTATGCTACTAGTATCACATATTCAGTTGTGGGCCAAGTTGGCTAAATATTCAGTTATGCCCAAAAGTATTCTTTCTTTTCCATTAATAAAATGTTTCATTTATAAGGGTATATATTAAAAGAATTAATACAAAAAAATTTAATTAGAGTTATGCAGGAGAGTAGTTTTCGTAACTATGTCATGTTAGATTAAATCCTATTTCAATAAAAACATGCCATTCTAATATCCAAACACCTTAAATCATTCCACTTTTTTCATTAGGCTTAACTTAATATTTTTAAATTCATTTCAATAAATATTTTTATGAAAGCTTTTTAAAATAAAAATATAATTATGTTTCAGAAAATTTATAATTTTCAAACCAATATGTTTTTTATTAGTTCTCAGTGAAACATATAAATAAAAGGGTCTAGAACGATTTTTCAGAGGTATCAATTCATTTCTATGGCCAGAAAATTGGTAAGGTTCCTTAACTAATAAATACTGCTAAGTTATTTATTTTTTCGTAATTTATAGATATTTACTTGTAATATTTCTTTATCATTCTTAATATTATTCTCTACTATTATTATGATTTTATTTTTATCGCAAATTAACAGTTAAAGACTGAAAGCAGTATACTTTTATTATAAAGTAAACCTGTAATATCACCTTATCAGGTAAAGTTTTGAAATTATTATGGAAAAATTATTATGAAAAATTATTATGTAAAAATTATTATGAAAAACATATGCAACTTAACCATTTTGAAATTATTACAAAACAGAAAATGTGTTATATTTATTTTTATGATAAGCTTTACATAAATTATTTCCAGTCAAAACTGTTATTAGGAATTAATTTTACATAATATTACTAAACAATCTGGCAAAAAACATGAACTAATTTTAAAGCAACCAAAAGTTAATTTAAAAAAAAAAAACGGTATATTAAGTTGCACTGTTAACTGAATAAAATTATTATAAAAATCTAAGCTTGAATTTTTTTCTAATAGACATTAATAGCAAAAAGTTAATTGAGTAGAATTAAATTTTTATGTAACACTCTGCTTATCATTAAGAAATAAAAATAATAGCGTAACAATCTAAAACTTAAAAAAAATAAATTTACATTGCAACAAAGCAAGTTATAAAAGTTACCAAATATTTAACTTTTTTGTTAGAAGCGAAACATATATTTTTTTATTTAGTACTCAGGAATAAAAATTTAAAGTATTTCAGAAAAAACGGTATTTTCATCAAAAACCCAACTCCCCCCGGTCACAAAGTCTGAGGCCGCCGGCAACTATGACAATAAGAATAGTGCATTTCAGGGAGTGTAGCTTCTCTTCACTCTAGGGTTAACACAATAGACCGAACAAAAATATCCTCTTCCTCTCGCCAACCCGATTCAAAACTTGTCCTAAATAATGACCCCACACGCCTATTTGAAATAGTTATACCTCGTTACCATAGTCACCGCCACTGGTCCAGACGAATGGCTCGGGGAGTTCTTACTTTCGACAAACTATAGGTGGGCTGGGATTTTTCAAACCCTGTTTATTACAGATCAGTTTAATTTTTAATAGAATCATGAATTTTAAAAAATGTTACTGCTTTCTATAAATTTACAGTTTCCTATCACACATTGAAATATTATACAAATGTATTTAATTCTTCAAGAGTTTTCAATATCGACTGTAGTTAAAAAAAGCTTCTGATATTTCTTTTTTCAGAGCTTTACTTCGTTCCTATAAGGAGAGGCGTTACCAGTAGAACTGAATTTCCTTAATTCTGACGTTTTTGAAGGTCAGTTCTACTCAGGTACCCTAGAACTGCCCCCCCCCCCATCTCTTCCATGTGTCCACACTGTATTCTTTTCTCTTAGAATGCTTCACTCTCCTCATAGAGTATCATTCTAGGCAAAATATATTAAACACAGGTTTGTGATATTTTGAGGAAAGTTTATGAATCAGAGAAAATAAAGTGGTTACATCAATATGGTTATGTTTAATGTAACAGAATTGTTTTTGCTTTCAATTTAATCATAACATAACTAATCTTCATTAGTTTTTAGTATGATTCAGAGATGATTGTGCTCCGGAAAAGTCCAAATTTTTCGCTAACCGCGATCCGGAAATCCGAAGTTTCAAGAAATCATCTATCACATTTATGTATAAAAATTCTTGTATATTTTATTTAAAAATATTAGAACTAGAATTTATAATTGGCACCTTTCATTTATGAATATTTTTTCTGATAGAATAATAAATGAAATTAGAGATAAAAGTAAACTTACACAAAATTATTAATTTAAATTATGCTGCATATAATTAGTTTAGAATTTCATATTGTGAAAATATTGATTTTAATCAAGAAATTTTCAGGATTTTTGAGTTGGTAGGCAATGAATTAATTAGTTTTGCTTGTTAATAAATTGTTTAAATAAAATAGTTAGGATAACCTCTTTTTTTTATTGTGATCTCTGAAAATGGCACATACCTGGTTCTTACAATTAGTTATTTAATTAATAAAACTAAAATAATTTCACTTTTTTAATTTATTATTATTTGTTGCCCTTTACACTGGATTTACATTATTAAATGAAGCAAATCTTGTTTTTTAAAACTCATCCTATTAGAATAGAGATAAACTGTATTTAACCTCATTTGGCATGATGCTATTACTTGATAGTCAAAATTACTTGATACCATCTCACGATGGTCAAAATTTACCACAATCAAGTTATTTTTTCTGGAGCATATATCCTTCTTGTGAGGAGTAAAACGCTTACTCCCACAGCATCAGAATTAAAACAGCTTAGTACTGGTGCAGTTTTAATAATCACCAAATATATCAACACTTCATATCTATATTAGTATGCTTGGTACTTTAATCTTCAACAGAATTTTGAGCAAAATACATTTATCAGTGGCAACAAACTAAAGTTTAAAAATATATAGAATTCATACCTTGATATGAACTTTGGAGCATAACCAATTCTCTATTTGACCTTTAGTTTGTTTAAAATATATGTAGCGATAGAGTAAACATCTTTTAATTCAAATTCATTAAAATATTAATAAGCTATCTTTGCGCTGTAAAAACTAGTTTCTGAAACTTCAGAAAAACGGCATCAATTACCATAATACTAGTTGTACATATTACCAAAATTAGTTAAGCATCATCTGAGCATGGTGATTTCCAATGGTTTCCCTAAAAGAATTTCGTATTAACCTCTTCTCCATAAACTTTGCTTTTTAGTTGGTAGGATAATTTTTTATTTCAATAAATACATATTATCAACATTATTTAAGCATCTTAGTCTTCAATAATAGCACAGTAATTTTTTACTGTTTTTCCAGACAAATAAGTATCTTTACGCCATTAATTAAGCCTATAAGACGTAGCTTATTTCGTTTAATTCAATATGCATATATTACCTAAATTAATAAAACATCATTGATGTCAGTAATAATACGGCGAACTTTTACGTTTCGCCTCAACGAATTAGATACACTCTTCCATTAATTTTGCCTTTGAACACATAACTATTTTTTTCTCATTTTAATTACCATTGATTTAAAATTATTTAATTTTTAGAAACATGTTTTAATTGAAAGCACATGGTATCAGATAACTTTAGAAATACTAATTTGGTGACATAGTTGACATGTGCTACCATGCTAATGTTGTTCATTAAATTTATCTGACATAGCAAATAAAAATAATTAAATAAAGTATGTACATTAAACTCTCCTTTTTTTTTAAATCAAATACAGCTATAAGCTAACAAATATCACATATGTTATCTTAAGGATATTTGAAAAATTGAACTCTCTATCGTTAAATTTAAAACAATGGCTAACGATAACCAATCAAAAAATGTCATTTAATTTTTCACTCATACCGCTCGAACGATTCATTGTAGAATGTTCGAATGTTGACAGTGACATTTTCTCATGCTTCGAACTATTAGTATACCAAACTTCATTGCTCCAGCCAGATGGTTTAGGAGTCTATAAAGGACACACGGATATTCAATTACGTGTATCTAAATTTAAGAACTATAGCCATTTTAATTTCTTAAGAAATTTGTTGCATTTATTTTTCTTTCCAATTATTGCTTTTTATTTTTTCATGTTTGAAAATGATATATATTTTGAAAATTAGCACTATTATTAAAACTGGAATGCAATTATAAATGGCTTAAAAATCTTTTGATACTTTTTTTGTTTTTAAAAATGATACTTTTAAAAATAAAATATTTTTCTTATTTTTTCACTTGGGGGGTTGGAAGAAACCTATTCATTGCTTCCAGAAAAGTTATGGAAGAAAATTGCCATCCCTGCTTTAAATATTTCTCATTTCAATAATTCTTGTTAAGCACTGGTAATATCCATTATTTATTAATTGATTTGTTTTGACTGCTTTTCAGACATTTTACATCCTGACAGTTTGTTTTATTTTAAAATTAAATTTGATTAACTGCACTCAAACACATTTAAAAAAGACAGTTTTAATTACAAAATGCCACTATACAAGATTATGAATAAACTTAACTTCGATGGAGAAAATATTAGTTAAACACTACAAATTATTAGAACTTGAATAACTGCATTGTACATATGTAGAAACAAGTTAGCATGAATTAGTTTTATGCAAAGATTTTCTCTTCACGACGCTTCTTTGTGATAACTGTTCCAGGTTTATGTTGAGCATCCGGGTGATTTGCAAGTTCTGGTGGACAAGTTGAAATAGGGCTAGTCATTATGAGTTGTTTCAAATCGTAGAAAAGGTGAGAATCCTCTTTAGTTATTAATGTGACAGCAATACCATGTTTCCCTGCACGACCAGTACGACCAATTCTGTGAGTGTAATCTATAAAATAAGAAATACAGGAATTAGTAGAAATTAAGGAAATCTAATCAATGGTCTTAAGGACCATTAGTTTGTACACAAACCCCTATTTGATTTTTGATATCAATACAGTAAACCAACTAAAAAAAGCAAATTAAGCTCCATGTAAATTTGAGTTTAATCATTTAGATTTAATAAAAAAATCAATAAAGTAAAATGAAATGTAAAATTACAGATAAAACGATCCAAATTGTGATGAAAAAACATCTGACCAAAAAAAATTTATATAATAATAATAAAAGAAAAAAAATCGTATACCATCTCTTTACAATCAATGGATGGCAGCCCGAGGGACCTTCTTTAGGCCCTTTTCATGTAATTTTTTTAATTTAAATATTAATATGATGTTATGACGACACACAAATTTTAGATTTGAGTTATCAGTTCTGGAAGTTTCTGAAAAGAAAAGACTTCTGGACTTCATTAAAAAAATCAGGTTTTTTCGAGACTCTCGTGAAATTTTTTTTTCCAATTCATAACTTCACGTTTTTTGTGGCCGGTAGACTACCTTTAGACGATCTTGGGATAATAAAAAGCTGACAACATAAAGATGTTAGATTGTATAAAAATAAAACTAGTCACTCAAATACGAAAAGAATAAAAAAACAAGATTAAACTCTGCAAAAACAAATTAAGCATTATTTGTAGTATAATACATAATGTTTTGTCCCAATAGAATAGTTTGCATTAATATTTATTATCTTTTTATAAGATCAGGCATAAAAGTATTTTGATGGGAAAAAAACTGTTATTTAAAGAATTTAAACAGGAAGAAAATACAAATACGTTAAATTCATACTATGCAAGAACTTTAAAAATGTGCACTGGTGAAAATAGAGAGAAAACCAGTCTTTTTATTCACATTCTTAATTTCATTCTTAAGCTCACACAAAAATATTCAATAACTTATACAAATCTTTTCAACTTGATTCTTTTTTTCAAACTCTCATTGTGGAAGAATGATTTTTAATTAATTAAGCATCGACGAAACAATTAAGTGATTGAGTATATGTTCTTGAGGGAATAGTTTAAAACAAGTCATTTTTCGCATATTCAAGTTTTATTCCTTTTCAAAACCAAGAAATACTGAATCATATAGCTGTTCTTTTATTATTTTTATAATTGTTGCTTGTTGGTTCTATATAAAAAGCCTATATAAAATTTATTAATTATAATTAACTGAGCCTATATAAAAAATGCAATTTCCTGTGAATCAGAATAAATGTAAAAAGTGAATATTGCTTAATATTTCACTATTATTTAGCAAAAGTGTTAAATTCAAACTAAATCTATTCAAATTCAATCTATCCAAAATAAATTATTTTCAATTACAAAAAGTAATATAAGTGATAAAAGTTATAAAAGCGGCATTGGGCAAAACCGCAAGAAAGGTTAGTTTTCCCGCAAGTATAGTTATCTACTATAAATTGCCAACTCATAATCTTGATCGATCAATACATTTGGAAAAAGTTGAGTTTTACTAGCAATCAGGATTTGCAAAAACCTGGGTTACGAAGAAAAAAAAAATCCAACGCTCGTGGGTTTTTTTTTGGGGGGGGGGGGGATTCATGAAAAAAGCACAGTTTTGCCTGAAAATAAGTGGGTTTTTAATGAAAAGACCCAATTTTGCATGAAAATAAGTGAATTTTTATCAAGTATATTCTACATGCATACTTATACTATAAAATAAAGTACAAGCTTAAAAAAAATTTGCTTGATGAATACAAAAAGAAATAACAAAATAAATAAATATGCAAATAATTATTTTAATCATTTTTCTACTTTCTAAATGTATAGTGAATTGCATAACAATGGAGTTGCTGAAAAGATTTCTTTGTAATGCATAATGTAATGTTATTAATTTTATTGAAATTATAAACACATAATTTGCTTTAAAGTAATGAAATTTCTAGAAGTTTTGTATGCATTCGTGGAATAAAATGCACATATCTTTATGTAGCATGGAATGCTCATTTGTATTTTTCAATGCATAAATTCGATATACAAAAAATTATCAACTTTTATCTTTATCATACTTTTTGCTTTTAAAATGAAAGAAAAAAGAAAATAAATCTTAAATATATGTTTTCTAAGCATTCCAAAAAAATAATTAAGGAATTTAGTGAACATCTAGAAATGTTCATTAAATTTAATTAATAACTGTGTACGAATGAACAACCAATATCTACAATATGTATGCACAGAAATTAATTATATTTTCAATCTATAATTTAATCTTCTTTTTTGTAATTAGCAAAACTTTTATTGATAAAATATTAACCGATGAAAATAAAACTCCCAAATATTAAGTAAAATATATTTTTGGTACTCGTAAAAATTTAAAATATAAACTTAATATCAATTGTCATGACAATTTCATTAAGCTAAAAGTTTAAAATATCAAAAAGTCTCTCTTAATTGAAATATTTAAACATAACAGAAACTATTTTTGCTTCTCAGTCCCTACGCAATTTTAGTTTGAACTGAACTGATCTAAAATCAGGAAATATTATTTCATAAGAGAAGCCGTGAATAATTGAGCAATTAGATCAGTTGTTTTGGCTTTCAACTGATATTCCAAAATTATGGTTTTCTGCTAAATTTTGAGCTTGATATTCTAAACTTTATCTTTAAACATAGTTTTACACACACACACACACACATATATATATATTGGGTTGTTCGGAAAGTAATTTAGTTTTTTTTGGGGGGGGGGGAATTAAAGACAATTTTCGTATAATGAATAAATATTTTATTGAATTATGGCCATTCTGATCCAAAATCCTTTTGCCATCTTTCTGGTAGTAGCATGATTCCGCACTCATAAAAGTTTCGGTCTTTGCTGTCAAAAAACTGATCCAAGTGATTTTTGACCTCCTCATCTGAAGTAAAGGTTTTACAGTCCAAAACGTTTTGCAGTGACCGAAACAAATAATAATCCGAAGGCACCAGATCTTGAGAATATAGTGGGTGTAGCAGTGTATCCCATTCAAGCTGTAAAAGCTTTTGGCGAGTGACCAAACTTGTATGAGGTCTCGCATTATCTTGGTGAAACACTATACCTTTTCTGTTGATTTATTTTGGCCTTTTCTAATGAAGTGCATAATTTAGTTTGTCCAGCTGACGACAGTAGACTTCCAAATTAATTGTTGTGTTATCCGGTAAAAGGTATAAAAAAAAAACTATTTCTTTAAAATCCCATCAAACAGATAGCATCACCTTTTTTTGATGGATATTGGCTTTCGAAATGCTTTGAGCCGGTTCATCTTTTTTGCTCCATGATCTCTTGCATTTTGTTATGGACAACCCATTTTTTGTCCCCAGTAATGATGCACTGTAAAATGGATCATTTTTGTGACGTTTGAGAAGCGAATCACAGACATCAACGCGACGACACAAATTTCTTTCCGTGGGTACATGGGGAACCCATATATCGAGCTTTGAGGTTAAACCCACGCCTTTCAAGTGCTCATAAACAGTTGAATTCGATAAATTTTACCTCTCACATGTTGTTATTCGCCGATTTGCATCAACTAATGCCTTTATTGCGTATTTATCAGCCTCAACCGGCCTTCCAGAATGTGGTGCGTCTTCGACATCAAAATTGCCGGATCGAAATTTTGCAAACCAGTTCTGGCACTAGCTTACTGTCAACACATCTTCTCCATACACATCTGTTAATTTTTTTCTGACATGAACAGCATTTTGACATTTTCTATAGTAAAAAAGTAAAATATGATGAAAATACTGCTTATTGCTCTCCATATTTAAAAGGGCACCAACCAAAAACTACTGTGTAGAATTAATTGAACTTTCTCACACAAAAGCCTTGCTATATCAGCTCTCAAAAAATATAAAGATAATGCGGCTTACAATATATATATACATATATATATATATATACATATATATATACATATATACATACATATATATATATATACATATATNTCTATTTCGTGTGTATATATATATATATATATATATATATATATATACACATATATACACACAATGTTGATGTATTTGAAGAAACTCTGAAGAGTTTACAATGCGTATAAATTATGCAATATGTATAATGTTATAATGTGTATGCATATTATGCATAATTTGTTTTATAGATAAATAATATGTTATAATTTAGCAATATATTTTAATCACATACTTTATTTTTTCATATATTTAGTTTGTTTAATCATAATTTTGTTTATTAAAATCATATTACTGAAATGTGTTTTATTTCAGATAATTTTGTATAAAAAGTAAAGTTAAATTTAATAGAAATAAAAAAAAAAATGAAAAAATCCACTAGGTGGGTATAAAAATATTTTTTTTTTTTCAAATGGCCCCAATCTAAAACAACAAGTTGGGTTTTTCTGAGCTGAGGACAACAGTTTTTAATGAATTTATTATTAAGTGGATGACTATCAATCAACCGTGGGGCTATTTTTCAATTATTATTACTTTTGTTATAAATAGCATATTTTTACCTTCAATGCTTTTAGCCATGTCATAATTGATGACCATGGACACATTCTGAATGTCGATACCTCTTCCAGCAACATCGGTAGCGACAAGAATGTCTTTTGATCCAGTCTTGAGGCTGGCCAAGGCATACTCTCTCTGTTCTTGACCTTTACCACCATGAAGAGTGCATGCATTGTACTATTGAAAATTAGATAATTTTAATAAGAATCTGCACACATATAAGTACTATTTTTTTTTAAATATATAGATATTTACTATGCCAAATCACAAAGAAATCAAAACCATATAAACAAAATTTAAAAAAAAAAATAAAATTTTTACTTCATACTTAAACAGGTTAACTGCAACACAGTTTGATAAACTTATAAAAAAGCTGATGGAAATCCGGAAGAAGAATTGCATCCAGATTGACCAAAGAAAAAGGGATTCACTTATTTAAGACAATACAGCTCTGTATCCTTATTTTTTTTTAAAACAAACTAGAAAAACAAGCAAGTTAAATCAATAAACTAAAGAAGAGCTTCTCTTTTTCAATACAAAAGCCAAATCTAATGCATATTTAGGAAAAATGTTTTTTAAAGAAAGATCATTGGGAAAAAGAGTTACACAGCCAAAAATAGCTTCCACAATAGATTATGAAGAAATGATTTTATCCTTATTTGAAAATTAGATAAATAAGAATTCACTCATCAAAAGTCATGTATTTTTTTAAATTTTTAGACCATGTGTCATGGGGGACTAGGCCATGGGCACTGGTTGAAAGTCTCATACCAGAGGGTTTTGGGGACATTTTACTATTCCCAAAGAGATTATGCAGATCCAGTGTTGTGTCAATTGCTTGTGGAACAATCCCTCATGGAAACAATTAAGTCATGAACATAATTCGTCGTGACAACAATTGATCATGAGTACAATTGGGTGCGGGAACAATTTGTCGCAAACACAATTCATCACAGGCACAATTCGTCATAAGCACAATATGTGCAAGCGAAACTAGTTTTAGCGGTTATTTGTTGCGAGTATAATTTCTTTCGATCTAATTCAAAGAAATCGATTAACGAAAATAAAACTCTTGCATTGTCTGCAAAAGCTAACTAAACTAAAAAAAAAAAAAGCATTGTAATATACTACCATATAACAATACACGATAGTATATTATGATGAATCCTCTTTTACAAAAAATGTCAAAGTCACTGTCCTAGCAATAAGGATATAAAAATTTTATGTTTATAACAATTTAAAACTCCTCCATTATGACAGAACTGTTCTTAGGAAAATACATTTTCCCACTGTTTTATTGAGCAATATTAAACAAAAAAATATTTAAATGGAAGACATTTTTATTTATTTCTGGTATCAATACAGAAACATTGTATCACAGTTTCAACCAATTATTTTCTTAATGCAATGTGTGTACGACCACCAGGCAAGCTATCTTTGTCCCAATAAAAGAAAAATTGCATTGCTAGTTTTAAAATTCCTGTCATGCACTTGAAAAGAATGGATCTTTTGTTGATCATATATCTATCATGCTCTCTAATTTCTCTAAATTACAACTTAATATTAATATTAACATTAACTGTAACTAAAAGTTACACACTGTAAATAAAACTTATTATTATTTTTTAGAATTTTTTAATTAATCTCTCTTTTTTATTATTTTTGTTTTTATTCTGTTATATATATATATATATTTCACGAAAAAACAACTGCACATTAATTTAGATCACATAGTTTCTAGTGATTCAAATTTTACTTTTAAAATCTTATGATACAATTTCATTCACAGAATTTCTTTATCTTGAGAACAGTTATAAATAAATTTGAAAGAAAATAATGAAAGACTTACTCCCATTTTTTCAAGACCTTTAGCCAATACATCAGCACCTTTCTTTTGGTTGACAAAAATAATGACAGGTGGTTCCACACCTTCTTCCAATATTTCCAATAACTTTTTCCTAAAATATACACAGCTGATTATCAGTTACAAGTACATGTGGTTTTGTACGTTAAAGTGCTGCCATTGTATTGCAATTCCAGTTTTTATAATTTTTTTTTTTTTTAACCAACTAACCTTTTCCTTTTGAAAACATTATATATACTCATTAATTTTAATATGCATTTATTCATTTAAAATACTAGGTACTTTACCAAATAAAAATATCAGACACATTGATACAAACACATCTCAAATATACAGTTAAACCTCAATATTATGCACACTAAAAATGCATTATGTTCAAAATTATATTATTCAATAGAATGTTTTGGCATTTCATAATTCTAATAGAAATGCAGTAATATGAAGCTTTTTATTATACCAATTACTTACATATTTCATACATATATGATTCCATAGCAAAGGAATCCAAATTTTCCAGCCATACTAATTACTTGAATGACTTTCAAGTGCCAAAACCATTTCAATTTTTTGAACATACTTGCAGTCAAAAGCAAATAGTACCCTCGATATGGTAACTGCTAACAGATGGCGCTAGTAGTCTTTTCGAAACTTCAGTATAACAATTAAACTTTCCAGTAAAGGTGAAGGAAGCAAAGCTGTTTGTTGTGAAATAAAGTAGCCTAACCTCCATTTAAAAATAATATCTAAGCACTGCCCACGGCCCATACGTAACATAATTCTGATTTTACTTGTTCTTTTTCATCGTGATTTACTAATATGGAAAAGATCCAAAAAATATACAGTGCAGAACATTCAAAGATAAACAAAAAGAACATTCAAAGTTTGCAGTCAGAAAAATTGCAGATAATTTATGAGTGAACAAGAGGCTGCAACTCTTGCCAACTTGTGTGTAGTTCTTGAAATCACAAAACAGGGAACCATTCAACAATGGGGAAATGATCAAAGAATGTGACATTTCAGAATCTGAAAAAATTTGCCCTGAAAAGGCAAATTTATTCAAAACTGTCGGCAAACACTGAATTAACCAACACCAAATTACAAAAGAGTGAATGGCTGTTTAAGTTAGCATTATATGTCGATTTGATAAAGCAAATTAATGAAGTGAATTTGAGAAAGAAAGGAGAAAGCCAGCTTCTCCCTGTTTTATACACTAATATTAAAACTTTCCAGTAAGAAATAATACTATTTCAATCACAATTAAATAAAAAAATGATTCAAATATTCTAAAACATATGAAATATTCAGTCACACAACTGAGACTCAATTTCCCGTCAAAGTGCTTTGACGATAAATTTTGAAACTAGTTTCTCAGATTTTGATGCCATTGTGAATGAATTTAAGGTTTTTTAAAAATCCTTTTGATACAGACACTGTAACTCCTATCCCGGAACTTCAATTAGAAATTATTGATAAACAGTATAATTAAGAACAAATATCAAGACTAATCTTTGTCGGAATTTTATAAGAGCTGATACAATTTGTCTTTTGGGCTGTTTTCTGATTTTGATGCTACTTACTTGTGTGAGAAAACATTCTTCAAAATAAAGAACGCAACGAATATTTGCAGATCTAAGTTAACTGATGCGCACCTTAAATTCTTTTAATAATTGGTACAAGTAAAATTGGTCCACAACTACAAACTATTGTCAGTGTAAAATCACAACTGCATAAATCTCATTAGTATTTTTTACAAGCTGGCAATTGTCATTAAGAATTACCTATCAAGTAAATTAAGCCGCGTTATTATTATTCTGTGTTTTTTTTTATCTAACTTATCACAGCAACAATAATTACAAAAAGCCTTTATCTGTCACAGGCCAGAATGATGACACTAATGAACCGGATTTGGCCCGCGGGTCGGATTTTGGAGACCCCCTGGTCTAGAGAATTACCAAAATGAATAGAATATTTTGCGAAAGCAAGGGTTAGTAAGAAATAAATTTTTCTAAAAGAAAGGGGGGGAGGGGAGGGGAGGTCCCTATTATCAAACTATATAAAATATGAAGGGAATTCAGATTTTTTTCCACAATACCAAAAAATTCATAATTTTGACATTTTAAAATTTTACGCCATTATTAGCTAAAATTTGTTTGCAAAATGCATTTTCCAAAATAAAAAAATAAAAACAAGAAAACGCAAGAAAATTTTTTTTTGTGTGTTTATACCATATGTAGTTAATAGAATTTCAAATGTCCTTGAAAAAAAAATTTTGTAAATGCAAAAAAAGATTTAAAACAGCCATTTGAATTTGCACTTTTCTCAATAACTTTTGAAGTAATAATAAATTTTTTATTAATATCAGTTTATTTTTACTAATATACATTAAAGTATGAACTGTTCAAAAAAATTTTACGTAATGGTTTGATACCAGATAGAGGAAATGAAAGTGTATAAGATTTTAAATTAAAAAATTTTAGGGAAATATTTTTTTTATAATTTTCCCAAAAAATGCCATTTTTTTATTATTTAATTCTAAATTATTGAATTAAATTTTTTTAGAAGAGGTGCAAATAATTCTAAGACCCTTTCATTTCTTATTAATAATTCTTAATAATCTAATCCTCCATCCAATTTGGCAAACCCAAAAATTTTTTCTTAACTCTAAAATTTCAATTTCAATAAAGTAAAATTCAAGTGCTCATATATTTCAGATGCAGAAACAGAAGTTTAAACAGAATAAAACAAAATAAGTTGATTAATGAAAATAAAATATTTGTAAAACGGAAGAACTCCTCTAAGAATAAATACTTTCATTTCAAAGAATAAAAAAAGGAGCAATCTTAAGGGCATTTCATAGACATTTTAATTCAGCATAACGAATGATTCCTTCAGAGAAGCTTAATCAAAAGCAAAACAATTTCATAAAACTAAAATGATATTAAGTACTGTAAAAGAGTCTTTGCAACAACATTATGAAAGGACTGCACACAGTCAACATTTTTTTATGGTTTTGTATCAGTTACATTAGTTTTCTCCTTTTGATATGCTAAAAAATTTTTATTTGTAAGACTGTATCAGAAAGTATCACCGTACCACTGTATTTTATTTTAATTTTATAACCGTCATTGAACAGCCGACCCAATTTTTGAGTTTACGACTACTAATGCTCAACTCCGTAGCCTTGTAATTTTGAATCCAGTCCATAAGACAAGGGAACTTCTGGATCAAGTATTGGGAGAAATTTGCTTTCGTGGAGGACTTTTTTGATGGAACTAGCCTGCATTTGCGTTACATGGAGAGGAAGACCACAAGAACCTGCCATGGTAAGCCTGATGGCAAGGAAACTCATCTACTACTGAGGATATTTCACATCAGCACTGTGGTCGGCGTAAGCCGGATGCGGAATTCGTATCGACTAGCCATTGCCGGGATTGAACCCCGGTTCACCTCATTGGAAGGCGAACACTCTATCTCCTGAGTCATCGCGGCTCTGTACCACTATATTAGAAAGTGATGAGAGACACATTGGTACTGATGCCATCAGCGGAGATAGGAAAACTAGCTGCATTTTAGTAGGCAGGTCTAGTTGAGCCATTTTAAATATTAATTACAAAATAAATAGTAAACCCACTTGATTGAAATTCATGTCTATAATCAGAAAATGGCATGAAGTTACATTTTAAAAAATAAATAAAAAATATCACACAGATTTCTCATTGATGTAGTTTTACAAAAGAGGTTTAAATAATAGCTTAAAAACAGAAATAACAGAACTGCATATAAATATTTCTTTAAAAAAAAAGATAACCGATTAGAGAAACGACAAAGGAATAAAATATTTATACCTTTTTATATTTTCACTGATTACATATACTATTTGTTCTACTCTTTCTACAGGCTTTCCAGCAGAACCAATATAGACAATGGAAGGCCTTCGTAAGTACGATCTGGCTAATCTTTCTACTGCCGGTGGCATAGTTGCTGTAAACATCACTGTCTGAAAAATATTTTGATTTAATACAAATTCTTTATTAACTATTTGAAGTGCTATAAGGCATGCTAAACTTTTAGTAGTAAATTCTGGTTCTCCTACATAAATAAATTTCAGAGAAATATTGAGTTCATGTAAAGAATGAAGCTTCAAATGCTGCTAAGTTTCCCTTAATGGGAAACCTAGTCCTAAATATTCACATTTCTCTAAACTTTAAATTACTTATTTAAGGGGAACAGCATTTGCCAGGAAGGGTCTCTTCCATAGTGTAGTGTAAAATAAAATCTATTTTGAAAGAAAATTTTGACAGTAAATGATTTTAAAATTTAAAATAAGTACCAAATGCATGAAAGAACTGAATGATGCAAGGAAGAATTTAGGAATGATTTTACGTGACACAATAACAACAAATATAGGACTAGTAAGTGGTGAAAACGATTACTTGTCCTATATTTGTTGATAAAGAAGAAGAAAGAAAGAAGAAGAAATGAAATTGTTAAAAATCAAACCCAGAGGGAAAATAATCAACTATTAAAAACTAAAGTGGTTGCAAGTGGTATTACTTACGAAATATTTGGCAGTACATTCTTATGATCAGATTGATGTTTAATATATTTCCAATTTCTATCACAATATTTTTTTCTATACCCCAAATCTTGATGTCTACCGTATTTCTTTATGCGCCCTCTTTCACCACAATGAAAACATCAATGTTCAGATCTAAATTTATTCTCAATATTTCATTCCTCATTTCTAACTAGTGAATGTTATTACGAGGGATACCTAGTGGATCATACTGAAAATTGAGAATAAGACTTGACCATAATTAGCAGTAATCATAATTATCGTCATAAATTCTTTATCTATTAGAAAGAATCAGTTGTAAAGCGCATGGAGTCCAAAGACCTAAATATTTTCCTGTACAAAGTACTCTATAATACTACACTTTTTGGTGTCAATTTTAAACATGACATGCACTAATTTTACAGATGACTCAGGGGGGGGGGGATACAATTTGGCTCAAAGATTTACATCCATACAGTTTTTCACAACTCCTAAATTTAGATTCATATTTTTTTTAATTTCTTTCCCTGCAATCATTTGTTAATCAATCGCCTTTTATCTTTTTAAGTAGGAAAGCAATAATAATATTTATTGCTAATTCTTATCTTAAAGCTTAATAAACATTTCGAAGGAAAAAAAACCCACCACTGCCACCAATAAAAATATATTTAAGCTGTAAGGTATCAAACTGTTTTAAAGAGACAGTATTTATAAAAAGAAAAGATTTATTTAAAACTTCAACAAAAGATAAAAAAAGGCTTATATAATTTTTAATTCCCATAACAGGTTAGTAGAAAGCATAAAATAAAACAAAAACAATCTCAACAAAAAATCAACGAACTCTCATACTTTCCAAAACTGTCTGCTTTTTTCCTTTTCCCCCCTTGATCTCCAGAGCCTGACTAAGACAGGGGCATAAGGGGTAGTTGCCCCAGGCTCCCACATCAGAGGGGGCCCCCAAATGCTATATGTTTACAAAATACAGGCTTTTGATTGGCTTAATTGAGCCATCGTAATTGCGTAAATTTTCCACCCTAATGTCAGCAAGGATATGAATTTTTCGCAGCTAGATGACAAAGTCAACACACCAGAAAACTGTATTTGGCATGATGGATATAAAATTGTCAGAAAATCAATAAAATGGACAGAACGATATTTCGTCTGACCATTGGAGGGGGAGGGACTTTATAGCTATTTTAGATTTTAGTCAATTTTCTTGTTATTTATAATGAGGCGAAAAATTTAAATACCTTCATAAAGTTCAGTTCTTCATTACTGAAGTAGTGAAGAAGAGGGGGCCCCCAAAGAAGTTTCCCCCCCCGGGGCCCAATTAAGCTAAGTCGGGCCATGTTGATCTCCTTGCACCATTTTTCTATGAATGCTTCTGTTAGTTGAATATATTTAGGACACTATAATACCGAACTACACACAAAAAGAAGCTAACAAATATTTAAGTTAATTGAAGCTATTTAATTGAAGTTAAGCCTAATCATTTAATCCCAAATTAACAAATGTAAAACAAAATCAATTACTAAAAAAAGCAATATATTTCACACTTAATAATAAATAAATAAAAAGAAAGCGGTAAAATGCAAGGAAATCTTATTAATCGCATTAAATAAAAATAACATGTAAAAATTACTTAATGGGCAAGGCAGGTTACAGGACAAAGCAGGATGAAATGAAATAAAATAAAAATTAATTTAAAATTAGAAAATAGGAATTTAAAAAAAAATCTTTATCTTAAAATTCATGAATAAGAACTAATTTATTGATTGTAAAAAGAGAAAGTTAAGTTGCAATATGCTTGAAAAAATAGCAGTCTGCTTTCAGTAATAAATAATTGTATGCTTATATTGATAAACAATCTTCTGCTCTTATTTCTTTATAGAAGACATTTGTTCACGAAAGCAGATCATCTACATCAGGTAAACCTTGCAAATGATATGGCACCTCTGAGAAATCGAAATTTATTCAATTGTTGATACATTAATATTATTTCATATATACATTAAAATATTAAAAATTTTATATTTTTTAGAAAATATTGTTTTGCTAATAGATATCAAATAAACATAGTAGATGATAAAAAAAATAATTATAATATAGTCATTGTACGAACGTAACACGAAATATTATCGAATGCTTGCAAAAACTAACATTTTATCTGAAATTATAAAACGATAATTTGTCCTAATAAATCAAGAATAATTTGTCAAAATAAATAAAGGGTAACCGAAATTGAGAAACAAAATTGGATTAAAAACAAAATCTAAATGAATATTCTCAATGCAGAAGTTTCTTAATTAGAACATCCAACTGACAACACTCCAGAAGCACTTAAGAGTCTTGAGGATACACCTAATAATGATTGTACCGAGAAATCTTTTTTAAAAGTCCGCATTGAGCAAGAGCAAATTACAGTATTGAAAAAGGAAGAGTGAAATCTCATGATTTGATAGGATGGCAAACTCCTTGGAAATTCCTGGTTTTGGGATAAAAATACATTTTTCCTGATATTCCTGGTGAGTACAAACCCTGTAAGAGGATAGCTAGGTTTGTTTCCTCTATCATATTTTTTATAAAATCACAAAGGTGCTATTTCTTCTACCAAACAAATTCTTAACTTGTACCAAAAGATGAAGCGATGTGATATTTCGCAGCAATTCACTATACCAGACTGAATTCACTTTCAATATATGCACTTGTTGTTATGCACAAAGTACAAATGTGAAACAAAGTAATTTTTGAAATATTATAAAATATTCATAATAATTTCATATTTATTAATAGTAATAAAAAAATATAAATGTGGTGCATTTTCAACAAAAAAAATTTACATTAGATGGCAACTAGTATTCAATTTTTTATTTGCCAATCACTCTGTAGAGATGGAGACTGTTAATTTGTTCCTAAAGCAGAAACTCTGTGACGAAATTACAAAATTGAAAAATTTTGACAAATTTGATGTACCATATATTTGTACTGTAAGAGGGGTGAAATTAATGGAAGAACAGTACCAGAAATGCCAAACAGTTAAATATTTAAATCTTCAGTTTATTTCACATGATATATTTTACTGGTAATTTATCTAAGTTTAAAAATTTTGACGGTATTGGCTGAACATTTTTTATGAATTAAGCAAAATAATAGTCAATTTTTGAATCAAAAATTGACTCCCCCTCCTTTCCAATGCAGCTGGCTAGTAAAAGAGGCATTTCCTGGAACCTTTTTATTGAAAGAAAAGGGTAAACACAGCAAGCGTTAACGTGGAGGGGGAGTCAAAATGGAAAATTTGAATAGGTCTAAAGCATAGATTCTCAACCTATTTAAAGTTGCCGCCCCCTTAAGGAGCGAAAAATATTTCAACGACCCCTTTTGTGAAAATCCAGTTATTTAGAGGGGATGGAGGGAGGTGTGCTGAATTATGAGAGACAACATTAAGCAATTTTTAAGCGAATTAATTAAGCGATTATTTTTTAAGCAATTTTTTCAGTAAGCTTAAATTTGTTTGGTTTTTTAAAAAAAGTGTGTACATTAACTCGATACTTTTCTCACGGCTGATAATTGCAGTCTATTTGTTGCAATTAAAATAAATGCGTTTAATGAAGAAAAAAATGCAACAAAGAAACCTATGCTTAAAAATAATTATTTATTCTTAATTAAATAATTAAAAAAACACCAAAAATAAACCCAATAATATTTTTTAAGCAATTTTTTTCAGTAAGCTTAAATTTGTTTGGTTTTTTAAAAAAAATAATGTGTACATTAACTCGATACTTTTCTCACGGCTGATAATTGCAGTCTATTTGTTGCAATTAAAATAAATGCGTTTAATGAAGAAAAAAATGCAACAAAGAAACCTATGCTTAAAATAATTATTTATTCTTAACTAAATAATTAAAAAAACACCAAAAATAATTTACTACGCTCAAAAGTAGTATCAACGAAACATTTAAATAACTATGTCAGTGGGATGATTGCACTCAATGGTTCAGAGCAAGTTTCTTAAAGTTCGCTTCAATACTTTTAGTGCGGCTAAATCCACGTTCGACAAGGTAGAAGGAAGGGAAGGCATTTAAAAAATGTTTGACGATAGTCCATAGACTAGGTTAGGGGCGACTTACATTACCTTGAAGCCAAAATTCTGTGAGATGATCACCATTTCAAAGTTTCCTTAGTTGAAATTTCGACTAATTCCTCATAAATCTGAACCTCTGCTGTTTCAATATTCACAAAAGGGTTCATAAACCAATAACCCATTGAGGGACTTCCATGGAACAAAACAGCTTTAAAACGGTCAGAATAGTCCATGTGCAAGGAGTCAAAGTGTTCACAATATTCCTGTGCACCATCAGAGAGAATTTCGCCTGCTTGGCTGAACTCATTCCAACTAAAATTCTGCTTCCACAAAATTAGTTTTTTTAGAAAGTCAGAAATAACTGATTCTGTAGGGATAAAATTGAGCTCATCGCCTTGAAGTTGTAAATTAAAGGCATTAAATTTTACAAATAAATCCTCCAAAGTCTTCCTTAAATTCTAGCAATCTGTCTCTCAGAGCTACATCTCTGTTTTCGAGGAATTCAAGCACAGAGTCGAAAAGATTCCAAAACCTATTGAGACAGGCGTCTTTGGAAAGTCAGAGAATCTTGATGTGTAGTAGCAAGCGATTGAATTCTTCATCATACCCAATGGTCTGAATAATCAATCGTTGAGAGCATTACTGTGAATTTTGTTCACAGCAGATATGACTGATGCAAACGGTCGCTGAGATTTTTCCCTTCTAAATGCTGTCTGTGAATCACGCAGTAAACAGCTAAAATATCTGGTATTTCCCTTTTCAAAAGGGCTATAAACACCCAACATTGCATTAGCTCCCTCAGTGGCTATCGACATAATATTTGCAGGAGGAATGTTTTTCTCTGTAAAATAATTACAAACCGGACCTACGCTCACAGTAAAGCCTACATTACATGGAAAGGTTGATTCATCAACTTGAAGGGAAAATTCGCTGGATATCAAAAGTTTGCGTAAGGAAACTTCAACGTCTTCAGCCATCTCATCATTTCGTCGCCTCACTGTATCGTTGCTTAATGGGATATTTGATTACATTGGATGCTGCTGGATGGTGTAAAACTGTTCCTAAAACTTCCTTGACAACCGTTAGTATCAACTCTGCTTCGATGGTATGAGCTTTCCCAGATTTAGCAATAAATTTTGATATATTATAAAAAGATATCAAACCACTTTTGTGATGAGGTTGCTAGTAACCCTGAGACCACAGGTGCCTTCAGAAACTTGTCTTTGATGTTCGTGAAAAATGGCAAAACTTTATTTTGTTTGTCAGAATAAGTTTTTTGCAAATGCTCCTGCTAAGGGGAAGATTTCATTGTCTCATTAGGCAAAACTTTGTTAGAAAGTAAACACATGGGCAGTTGAGAGTTCAACAGCGATTGAAAAATCCAAACTTCAAGTACGTGGTACGGTATTGATGACATTTCTTTTTGTTAACTGACGTTGTTGGTGCCAGCAAAATACTAATGATGAAAGAAAATTAACTATTTCTCCAAATTAATGAATAATTTATGGTAAAAAACTAATTCATGCACATACCTGGTCAACTAAGCAATCAGATCGAATCGAAACTGAGGGGAAAAAACTGTAAGGAAGCTAACGAAAAAAATCATAAACACCAGTCAAATCAAACATTCATACTGAAAGCGTATGTACTTTAATGTCCGCCAAATGTCTTGAATGAGTCAGAGTGATTCGCGAAATAGCTTGAATGAATCAGACTGAAAAACTCATGTGCTGCTCTCTGTTGGTTTGGATCGGAGAATAGGTGTCGTATAAGCTCGTTTCATTGGTGGTACAAATGGTGCATCGGATAATCTTAATTTGCTATGTTAATTTAATTTATTTTCTTTTATTTTTAGATTAATTTTATTTATTAAATAAATCTCAATTTAATAATTTTATTTGTATGTTTAAAAATTAAATTTGAATAACAAAACATGTTCATCGCCCCCCTACTGCCCAAAATATACCCAACGCCCCCCGGCCGCCCAAAACAAGTTCACCGCCCCTAATCATACTCCCACCGACCCCGTTGAGAAACAATGGTCTAAAGGGATACATGTCTTTGAGATACATTCCTTCTTCCCCTGACCATGTCATATTTAGGAGGTGGCAGGGTTCGTGATTTTTTTGATTTTTTTAAAAAAAAATAAAAAAAATCGGATTATNCATAAAAAAATTTAATTTTTTATTATACAGATATTCTAAATGGTAATTTAAAGGTCTCTTCTGAAAGGATGCTGATATACGCGGTTCAGCGCCATTGCGGCGCTTACAATAACTTTTTTTAAAAAAAATTCATTTTTATCGAGGTGCGGCGCTTGTGACGAAGCGGCGCTTTCGCCGAAAAATACGGTACCCACCTTAATGAATGAGGGGAATTTCCCTTTCCTGCTTGAATCGTTCTAGTTAAAAATGGCGGATTATTATTTTAATAACTGTCAAATTTTTTTCGTTTTCTATATTTTAAGCAATAATTTTTTTTCTTCTAATATTTCATATTTGATTGATTGGATAATCTAATACTAAAACATTATTCCCTTAAAAATAATGTTTATTTATTTTTTGCTTCTTAGATTTAGATCGTTTATTCGATCATTTTAAGCTTCGTTTACCTTGGGGGTCTATTATACGGAAAAATCTATTATTCGGACTTCTGGAATTGCCACCGATTCTGGATACGCAACTTTACACTGCACAAGCAAAAAAAATAAATAAATAAAAATAAATTATCATAACTTTAATTTCTGGGTACATACTAAAGTTCTGTTGTGGCAGTTGTTGTCAGCATATTAAATATTTTAAATGCAATTTTAGTCGAATTCATAACAATACTGAGTATAGATTATTGAGTATTCCCTCTAAAGTGATATTTAGAATACCTTTAGAACCATATTACATAATATAACATAATATAATAAAATAAAATGTAAGCAATGTGCTGGCGATTTCGAGTTTCGATGGTACGCCAACCCCGTTCCCAGCTCACTTACATTTAACTTTTTTAAAGCTCTCATGCTAATCGTTTTTCGTTATTCAACTTTGATTTGATAACTATTGTTTTATGGATAATTGTTACCATACTTTAAAATACTATGATTCATTTGGAATTAGTTAATTATTTTGTTATTCTTATTTTTGTTTACAATAAAAACTGTTTTTGTTTATGAGCTATTTCTTTCAGTTATTAATTATTACCTATGAAAAACTAATTATTAAGGTAGGTTGGACCCTCCACAATGTTCAGAATAATATTATAATCAGAACAGTAATATTCAGAATTATAATACATAAATATTACTTATTTTTACCTTATAAGTTTTTTATAAAGTTTTTAATAAGGAAAATGTAATGTTTCAAGAAAAATATTTGCAATAAGTAAAAGAAAATTAACACTTTAAAATGAATATAATACATTTTAAATATTAATAAAATGTGTTCATCATTATTAGGTCATTAAATAGTATTATGAGACTTAACAACTAAATTGATAATTTTTATTCACAAAAATGGAGTTCAAGAAAGAAGAAACTTAATAGTATACTTCACTTAAATAGCGCCATTATTTTTCTAAAAATCTTAAAGATTTAAAATAAAATTTTTGAATGTTTCCTTGTTCTCATGGGTTAAGGTTCTCTTATTCTCCAGAGATATTAGAACACTAGTTAATAGCATTTTAAAAAAAATAATATTAATTAGATTCAAATAATAGATCAAGGAAGTAAAAAACGCAAATCATTATCAAACTTGATATTTTTATCGAAGAACAAAGTTTTAAAAATTCTCTAGAGCAATGTAAAATATACCTGACGGAATTTATTTTTAGAATTAAAGTTGGCCAACAGTATCTTCTCATCTTCAGCTTCATCAGTATCTGGTTTCTGGTTGGTCACTGGCATATATTCTAAAATTTTCTGGACATCTGGTTCAAAACCCATATCAATCATACGATCAGCCTAAATGGTGTAAAACAGTTAAAAATTAAAATGAGTATTTTTGTAAAAAAATAATTTAATTTCAAAATACGAAATCATGCTTTCGATAAATAATTGAAAAAATATTTAAATAGATAAAGCATAAAATGATAGTAAATGACTTTAAGTTTGTGATTATGGGAATTCATTAAATTTATAAAGGAAATTTCCTCAACCATTTTTGGGCAGTGGGTGACAAAAACTACAAAGTACACTGTTGAGGATCAACATTAACATATTGATGTAATTATATAAATGTGGGGAATATTTAGATTCTGTTTGAAAGCAGCATGAATAGGTTAGAAATGTATAACTAATCTTTTTCTCCATTGGAGGTAATAAAAAAAATATAATTAAATTTAAACAAATATACTTATTATTAAATACACAAGTGGGCGACCTTTGTGCTAAAATACAAACTAAAGGCGAACAACATTAAAGAGCACAAAAATATTTATAAAATACAGACAGCTGTTCCGAATGCTCAAAGGGCAACCTTCATCAGTGCAACAGAAAGAAATAAGACGAAACAAGGTAAATATACAGAAAGGTTAGAGCAATAAGAGGGTTTAGAGCATTGGTTGTTGCTCTAAACCCTCTTGAGACATCGTTGTTTGCTCTTTAACGCTGTTTGCCTTTAGTTTGTATACTTATTAGATTACAAAATAAATTATGGTCAATTTATAGGTATATAACAAAAAAAAGGTGAACCTTTTTTTCGTTGTTAGCTTTGCTTTTTCTTCTTTTAAAGTTACAACTTCAATTTACATTTATCCTAAAGTTTAACTTTTACTATTATTATTATTTAGGAAACAAAATTTATTAAAAATACAGTATTAGATTAATATGGCAACTATTACTAGAACTTTGAAACTTTATTTTTTAAATCTATCTTATTGACTTAAAAATTGTTTTGCTTCTCTTTTAGTTCTCCAAATTTTATAAATAATAAATTTCACAGCGAATTCTCAACCCATTGCAGAAATAGAACTTTCATAACCAAATAATCACATTTTGAAAAAGGATGTAAACTAGAACAGCAACTTTCCGTAGCAGAGCATGAATGAGTCAGGGGAAAAAAATATCCAGTTATTTTTTTTTTCTTTTGTAGTTTTATAAATACTTTACAGTTTACGGGCCACACATTAAAGGTTATGGAAGCCACTTTTGACATTCCTGTTATAAATGAATACTAAAACATTTATAAATTTGATAAAACAATGCATATACACATGTCTACTTCCTTAGGTTGCAGACAACTTATTTTAAACATGGCAATTTCTTTCTCTGAAGAAAAGTCTCATAAAAATTAAAATTCAAAAAGCGTTTTAAAATTTTCAGTAATGAAGAGAAAAATTTCGTGATCAAAAATAGTTCGTAAAATCAAGGGATAGTAAGTAAGACAATTGACAGAAAGAGATTTTTTTTCTATTCTCACAATTGCAAATGCACAGGGAATTATTTCAGTGATATCGAAAAATGCCTGACATCGAGGCTTGGCTTATACCATTGAGAAATACGTGAAGTAACACATTTATAGGACAAATAAAATTAAAGTTAAAATACAATAGGAAAAAATCTCACCTCATCAAGAACTATGTAAGTACATCTGTTGAGGACTAAATATCTATTTTCCAAAACATCTATCAATCGACCAGGAGTAGCAATAACTATCTAGAAATAAAACAATATAAATTATAATGATTACAAATAATATTATTTAAAATAATGGTATGTGTACAGAGAGTAATGGAATGGATGATTGTGTTTATGCATAGCATTGCTAAACAGTATTCTAAAGAAAAAATTTTATAAATTAGAAATTTTAAGACTTTTTTTAAAAAAATAATAAGCTTTAAAAAGCTTATTAAGCTTGTTGGATTCAATATGTATAAATGAAAAAAAATATATATATATACTATTTATAATCACTTAATAATTTTTTTTAGAAAAGAAAGACTTTGCACCAGGGCAATCTATTGACATCTAGTATTAAGTAATTGATTTTTTTTTTTTAGTTGCCAAAAAGACTCAGCTAGGCATAATTTTAAAATCATGTTTTTAACTGGAATATTTATCCTCTTTAATCATAGTAGTAAAACACTGTTTCTTTTAGGGTTTATTCTCTTATTATTTTTCTTTTAGGGTAATTAGAAAGAACAGGGTGATAAAAACTGCAAAGAGCAGCATAGTCCCCAAAAAAAGACACCTATCACAAAAAGAGCATTGTATTTCACAAAAATTTGCATAGTTGAGAAACCTAAACTATACAAGATTCTTGATATTTTATTAAAAAAATATTTTTTTAAAAGAGAAATAGTTAGTTAGTTAATCAGTTTAAAAATAATTCCTTAATTAAATTCATAAATTTTATAAATAAGTTTTGAAACCAGCGTAATTTTTTAATTTTAAAATGTTACGGGTAGTAACAATGGTGTATTAAAAATATGGAAATTTAAAAATTATATCAAAACGGCTGAAAAATGAAAAGCAACTGTAATGACCATGTAAGAAAGTGGTTGTGATTGTAAGAAATTAGCTAACCATCATATCGTAGTAATAATATCAGAATAGATAAAAAAATTAAAATAGCTGAAAAATGGCAAATTGCTTACAAAAAAATAATCCATAAACGACATGGATTTACGCTAGAATCGTTAAGAACTGATCAAAAAGTGACATCTTAAATTTAAAAAACAAGTTTATCATAACATCGTATAATAAAAACCAATAGAAATGGACGAAAAAGCCATTTAAAAACTAAACTGAATTATCGCGAAATAGCTGCAAGTTGAACGTGTCTAAAAGTGATTACTCAAGCTCAAGTGTCATAATAATATATTAAAAATACCAGATTTTAGTAAAACAATCTGGAAATAACTGAAATACAGATAAATAAGAACCTGAACTGATAAATAAGAAGCTATCATCCAACAGCATTAAGATATGAGGAAATCGACCTGAATTGGACAAGTCAAAAAGTGACTTCTCAAATTCAAATGCCTTAACAACACCGCATGGAAAATATAGGAATTGTAAAATTATATTAAAAGGGTAAAATAATTATAAATAATTTCAGAAAAAACTCGTTAAATGACGTGTAATTTCTATGAAATCATCAAAAATTCAACGCTTCAAAAAAGTTACAGCTCAAATTCAAATGTCGCAACTTCTAGCCTGGGTGTCTGCCAATTTTCAAAAAGAATTAGTTAAATTTTAAAAAAAAATAATAAATTCCTCAAATAAAGTCACGTATTCTATAAATAAATTTTAAAACTAACATTATTTCCACATTTTGAAAATCTTGTGTGTCATAATAATATTGTATTTAAAATAATTGGCTTTTTAAAAACAATAAATAACTGTAATAAAAATAATAAAAACGATACTGCAAAACAATAAATAATTGTGATAACAGCTGAAAAGCAATAGGACGAAGTAGTTTTACGATAAAATCATCGCAAAACATCATTAAAAAGTTATTACATAATAAAATATGAAATTCAAAAGCCATAATAAGATATCATATTTAAAATATCTGACTTATAAAAAAAGACGTAAAAGATTGTCGTAAAACCATAAAAATAATCAATAAATAATATGGTATTACGATTGTTGCAACTAGAGCACGTCAAGAACTGGTTACTCAAATTTGTAAAAATGTGAGGAAATCTATGAGGGTGTTGTATGCTAGAGTATGCTGCTGGGAATGGAGAAACGTCAAGAAATGTGTAGTGATCGTGTCATAGTAGATTATCATTTAAGTATTACATATCATTGGAAAAACATAATACTTTGAAATTACACAGAGACTTATTATTTTGATATTTCTTTTTAAAAAATTTATAATATATTGTGACATAGTAAGTATTTTATTCATTTGTAATAATCAGTGCAAATGTAAATATTTGATTTTCATGCATAAATGTATTCAACAAAACTTCAAATTTGGAAGCAAAAAAATAATTGAAATAGGGAAGGTGCTAACATATTTACTGGCTAACCAGAAATTTTCACTGGCTATCAACATTTTTCAAATTCTTGGAGCCCTGTGCGTGTATATATATATATATAAATATGTGTATACACGTGCATGCATGTACGTTTGTGTGTAGGTGTGTAAACATAGGAATGGAGTTTTTTGAAGAAAAATTATACAGTTTCAATTTTCATTTTGTAATGTCAAGAGAATAATATTATTATAAAGTAATGTGCATTACCTCACAGCCCAGCCGCAAACGAAATCCTTGTTCTTCTCTGGACAAACCACCAATCACAGCTACTGTTCTAATTTCTAGCGTTTTCGCAAATTTGATTGTTTCCTCTTCAATCTGCTGAGCCAACTCACGTGTGGGTGCCATTATTATTGCATATGGACCCTGGTCAATATCCTCATTTCTGTAAACAGATTTATAATCAGTTAATTCAATATACACTCAAACAGAAAACTTGAAATAAAGAAAACATTTTATGGTGTATACAGCACAAGACACAAAATATCAAAACTTAAGAGAAACTAGCTGATAGACGTAGCTTCTGACAGAAAATGCAACTACAGTCGGACCTTTATTTAACTATTAAGTTGCTAAATCTCGATAAAAAGTTGGTTATATGGAAAATTCGTTAAATAGAAAATCACCATTCAAAATACTTAAACAACACAAAACAGGCTGAAAATTCATAAACACTAAACATAATTAAAATAGAAATGCATACACCTTTTTCTTGCAAATTATTATCTACTATCGAATTGTTCCAAATTATTTTAACATTTCATAATATGAATTTGGTGATTTCTTATTGTTTCTATTTTTCACACTGTCCAAAATATCCAATTTAGTTAATATTTCTGTGCTTGCAGCTTTAGATTCAATAAAAAGAAAATCATTTATTAGTAAATCATTGTTAATTTTGTGGTTTTCTCTTAGCTGTACCCACATTTTTTTAAGTTCTTCTAAAAGAATAGTATCCTCGTCCTTCGCACTGACTAAGAATTCAGCTTTAGCAAAACTGTTATGAATAGTATGATCTGTAACATAATAATTCCATGCTTTAGAAATTTGTTATACTTTCTCGTAAATCGATTGTTGCCACGGATTCTTGTATGAAATGCAAACAAAAAGGGAAAAGGATTTTACCACTTTCTCTAAAAGTTAAGTGGAAAAATCAGTTCAAGATCATTTCCCCATGAAATGCTTTAACAAGTTTGAAATGTTCCAAAATATTTTGGGAAATAGGGAAATTAGATCTCAAAGAAAAGTTCGTTAAAGAGAAAATTCACTTTGCTATTAGGAAGTTACTTTACGAAGAAATTTTCAATATGTTCTTGGTTCATAAACAAAACAAAAAAAAATTATGCAAAATAGAGAAATTTGCAAAATGGAAGCTTGTTAAATAGAAGTTCGACTGTATACTTTTGACTTTAAGCATTTAGTCATCTAATCTGGATTTAACTGAAAACTCAAACTATATCTGGGTTTTGAATCTTTTGAGTTGCAATTTAAGGTCAAAATTAAGAAAAAATTAGCATACAACAACAAACAAATTATCTTCAAACAAAACAGTGAATAAAACTTGAACAAAAAATAACAAAATGATGCATAATATAAATGCATAGATTCAGTCAGTAAACAGAATTTTACGTACATGAAAAAAAAAAATTCACCGTAAAAGAGGGGATTAAAAAGGTAATGTATAGCATAACACATGTAGGGTAATGCAAGAAAAAAAAAAGAAAATATTAAAACTTAAGATATTATTTTATGACATTCTTGCATCATCCTGTTTCACGCAAAAATATTGAAACAAATTTGACACTCATTGGTCTTTAATACCCTAATCGATATGTTTGTGCATACTAGTATATGCATAATGAAGAAAAATTATTTTTAAAAAAATCATGTTTATAAAAAAAGGTTCGTTCAAATATTATGCTTGCATCTAACGGGTGATTTGCTTGCTTTTGCTGACAAGGGAAGAGTTGTGCTTAAGTAAGGTATTAAAATCCCCTATTTTCAAAAATTTTCTTATAAAGCGAATTAAAAAATTTATTAAGGAAAATAAATATGGAGAAATTTCTTCAAAGAGTTTCAAGCATATTGAAAACAAAAATATCCTAACGAATATTCTGCTGAGAATGTTATAAAACATAAAGTAAGTTTTGTTTTATGCAAAGTTACATCTTTTATTACATTTTAATCCTAAAATTAGATTGCTACAATAAAAGTTAAAGTAAAAACTAGAAGGGAAGGGTGATATGATGTAAACACAGGAGGAGGTTCACCATTTGCTTCTTTTAGCTGGCAATTTTCAAAAGCATGCTTACATAATATTTGAACTTCCCTAAATGTTCAATTACACTAGAAAGTATTGAAGGTTTTAAGAAAAAAGCTCTAAAAACATACAGGAATAGAAATTTAAATACTTTACTGGCTGACAAGAAATAACCTGGACAAAGTTTAAAGCCAAATATTCTTATCTCAACATACTTCAAACACCTCCTTTCTTGGTTATAAACAGTCTTCAGAAACTAAAAATGAGCCTGACCAACCAAGCTACTTGGTTACAGTACTTTTTGAAAAATAAACATGAAAAATGATTAGAACATAAAGTATTTGCAAAGTATGGAATTAGTGATTACCATTATCAACTCCATTTTAGCTCTTAATCATTGCCAATTCAAAGAATTTTTATTTGAAATGGAGAGTGAGTACTCTGATCTTCTGCTTCATAACAAGGTAAGTTGGTTATTAAGAGGGAACGTTTTAAAACGTTCCCAGTCCCTTTTTCCGGAAATTAAAGCATTTCTCCTTCAGAAGGGCTTTCACTATCCAGAACTAACAGACGATCAGTGGATCCAAAACTTTTATTTCACGGTTGACGTTACGTCTCATCTAAATCAGCTTAATCGTAAAGTACAAGGGAAAGGAAGCTTAATAACAAGGTGCTTCATAACAAGGTAAGTTGGTTATTAAGAGGGGACGTTTTAAAACGTTCCGCGTCCCTTTTTCCGGAAATTAAAGCATTTCTCCTTCAGAAGGGCATTCACTATCCAGAACTAACAGACGATCAGTGGATCCAAAACTTTTAATTCACGGTTGACGTTATGTCTCATCTAAATCAGCTTAATCGTAAAGTACAAGGGAAAGGAAACTTAATTTTTTCAATGTTAGAAGTAATAACATTCAAAAACAAATTATCCATTTTTGCTCAGGATTTTGAAAGGGAAACATTGTTTCACTTTCTGATATTTGATATCTGATTGAAGCATCGCCAAGAAAATAATTCCTCTATTGATAAACACCATTTTAAAACAATAATTTTAAATATGAGGGAAGAATTTCTCAGCAGGTTTCAGGAATTTAAAAACAGCACAGCAACTTTAGCATTTATAAAAAATCCTTTTAATGCTACGATAACCGAGTTAAAATTTTCTCCTTTTGAAATTGACATTGGTAGCTTTGAAATACAATTGCTGGATTTAAAAAACAAGGTGATATGGCGCTCTAAATTCGAACATCTTTGTGTTGAATTGGAAATATTGGAGAAGAAAAAATTTGATCTTAGTTCACAACACAAGTGGTCTGCTTTGAATGACCTGGAGACGGAAGACATGATCATTTTCAACGCTTGTAATAGTATTTCTGACTCTTACGATCAGCTGAAAAAGCTTGTGTTTGCTGTTCTTTCCCTTTTCGGTTCTACATACATATGCGAACAATCTTTTTCAAGCATGAACATTATCAAGAGTAAACTGAGAAGTCGTTTTATTGATGAGAACTTGGAATCATGCCTAAAATTAAAAACAGCATTCAAACCTGACTTACTCAAACTTTCCAAGGAGATGCAAGCACATTGTCTGCATTAATAAATATTTATGAAGTATGAAATTTAGTTTTATTTAGTGTACTACTTATTTAGTGTAATAAAAGTTTACTAAACAAGCAGATTTGGCTCCCAATTTTTTTAAAAATTGTTGTAATGTTCATATTTGGCTCCTTGGCTAATAAGTTTGCCGACCACAGAACTAGAACATACAAGTTTGTTTTTTTTTTAACTGGGTTTTTAAAAAAATTATTTTTTTTATGGCAATTGCAACATAGGAAAAAGATTTTTGCTTTATTATAAAAATTATATACAATTTTTTCTAATTAATAATAAAACAATTAGTGTAAAAATACACTAAATTACGACGAAAAGCAAAAAATCCCTAAAAATAGTTCCAAAATTATGCATGGCCCTGTGAATGAAATGATCATATCAGCGAATAAAATGATCCTGTCAATGAAATTATCCCGTTGACGAAACGATTGTCGACAAAATGACCCTGTTGATGAAATGATTCTACCAACTAAACGGCTTATCGACAAAATTACCGTTAACTAAATGGCTTGTCAATGAAATTACCATCATTGAAATGACCCTATCGACAAATGGCCAGTTAACGAAACGACCCCGTTGATGAAATTATCTTGTCGATGAAGAAATAGCCTGTCGATGAAGTAATATTCAATTAACCTCATGTTTGATGCAATGCAAAATTTATGTAAATTTCATGCTATTACTCAATGGCTAAAATATTTTGAGGGCAGCAAATTTTAAAGATTAATCAATAACTGTATATAAACTGTAAAACAATATCAATAAAGAGTGTTCCTTGAAAACGACTACAATATGATTAATAATTTTTAATAGCAATTGTAACATATGTGTTTTAACTGTATAGAACTAACTGAGATGTGATTGATGCTTTGCATTGCTTGGAGGAGGTCATAGTTCATGTTCAGTTCTTGCTCTGTTCGTGTCTACCATGTTGCTGTCTAATTTAAAATGGTTAATAAATATTTCTTTAATGAAACTTTAAGCTTTTCATTTCATAGGGTAAATAAAAAAAATAGTAATAGATATTGAATTGATTTTATATAGTTACAACAAATTTTTATTTTTAAATCCTGATTACTATAAATGAGGCTTACATTATAATTCAACAGTCAAGAAATCCCCCCCTCTCTCTCTCTTTACTCTTAATGCTCTTTTTTAGAAAGTTTATTTCCAAGGCAAAACTATACAAACATTATTTTACCTTTCAATTTTAGGCAGTGAAGTTATCCAAACTAATAGTGGTATCAAGAAAGCTAGAGTTTTACCACTGCCAGTTTCAGCAACACCAATGATATCTCGATTTTGCAAACCAATTGGTATAGCTTGTCTCTGAATAGGAGTAGGATCCTAAAAACACAAAGAACAAAATGTTAAGATTATAATTATCGTACATTTTAAGCATCATGAAATCTTATGATATGTGTATTATGATTTATCATGAATCAGTGACAAATGTTTTGTAAATACAAAATTAAAGCTTTCAAAAAGGAAAAGTAATTGAACAAACACAAAGCTTTAAGTAAGTCTCTCTTTAATTCTGAAAAAAATTTTAAGATGAAACACTGGAAATAATAAAAACCAAATTATTATTTGTGAGTGCCTAATTAATGCAATTACCTCTTTTAGAAAAATTTTCAATTGTTAATCTATGAAAAGTCCTTGTTTAAATTAAACAAAGCATACCACTAATCACTCAGAATATTTAAATAAAATACAAACAAATTCTTAAAAAAAATTATTTATATAGACATTTAGTTAAAATTATAAGTTATAGTGTTAAAAACTATTAGATAGTTGATGTCAAGGTAATGGATCTCAGAAATTGGTTGACAAAAAGTTGAGGAAAAATATCATAATCTAATTAAGAGGGAACTAAACACAGTGGCGCGATAGCCCATAGAGGGCCACTGAGCCCATCTCAATTTTCTTGACTTTTGGATTCTGGGGTATAAGAGCAGACGCTCCAGTTGGGTGGTCAGCTCAACGTGAAAACCCCAGTGTTTAGTTCTTAAGCATGGTTGGTAGTCATTTTATCAGCCCACTGAAAGGATGAAAGGCTGAGTCAACCTTGTCCAGTCCGAGGAAAGAATCATCAACCTGTGACGACAGCACGAAGCGCTACCACTGGGCATCAAGGGGGAACTACAAAGCAAAATTTTCAAAAAATAAGAAAAAAAAATTATTACCAAAATATCTAATTGATTTTCGTAAAAATGTTAATCTTACAGCATAATATGTCGAGCGTGGCACACAACAGAGGGGAACTTGCATGTTCAGTTGATTAAGCTCACCCTTCTCAAAACATATTAGTAAAATACTATCATTTGAATTATTTTATGGAAACAATTTGTTAAAATTACAAAAGAATGAATGGTACTTTCAGTAGAGATAGATGAAATTGCAACTTAATTATTACAACTTATTTAGCTGTCATAATTTTTAATGAAGGTTGCAAAAGGGTAAAAGTTTTGGAACAATTAGAAATAAATATAGGCTCAGCAGCCAAAGAATATGCTCAAAATGAAGATAAATATAGAATTCCAGCTGCTACTCCAAACAGGGTGTGTAGCCAAATCTTTCAACAAAAAAATAAGCACCTTTTAAGTACTTTTTAAGCACTCAAAAATATTTTGAAGCACTATATACATTAACAAAATACAATATAATTTTCAAAGATTTTACATGATCATGATAAAATAACTAGTTTTTGACAAAGAACTCTTTTTTTTTATTATATTAGCCATTAATAAATAATCAAAATAATTTTCGGTTCGATATCAGAGGATGGAAAATGAAGCCTGAAATTGAGAATATCTTGCAAACTACAGCACATGAGAGTGTAATAATCTCACCCAATCCAGCACAATAGACGTACATGTGGACACCCGCAAGTAAACATATAAGGTGTTACATGAGTGAGAAGAAAATGAACAAGACAACTGAAAATGATTGAAAAGAGGTATTTTATGGACTGGGTATTGATGCATTGTAGTTAGTTGCACAATTTTAAACATTCAACAAACTTTAAACCCCATTTACTCGGAACTATGTTTCTCTGACTTTCTGTATCTCAAACTAATACAGGGTGCGTAGCCAGATTTTTTAAGCACTACAAAAAATATTTTTAATTACTTTCCAAAAATAAAAATCCTGATTAGGATCTGTGCAGTAATAAAAATAAAAAAATTTCTATCGCTTAAAGTCCTTCATTTATAAACATAAAACCAATAAAATTCAAAAACATTTTCAAAAACTTTACATAATCATAAAATAACTAGTCTCTGATACATATTGCATTTGCAAATCATATACATATTGCAAATCATGCATTTTTTGTAATTTAGAACAACAATCAATACAACAACAAAAAAATATCCTTAAAAAAAAAAAAAAAAACTCAGCACTTTTTACTAACCCTGAATTAAAAAAAAGCATCTTTAAGCACCTTTTAAAAATGCAACGCACCCTGTAGCACAATTTTCAACTGATTTACTTCAAACTTTACTACAATGTTCACAATAAATGTAATTTTTGTAGCATGTAAGGAATTTTTAATTGGTTTGACTGGTTTTGAGTAATCTATGAAAATTTTACTTATTTTAAATCATTTCTTGAATTTTGTTTTCAAAACACCACCATTTTGAGAAGAAAAAATATTTTTAAAAATCTCAAGTGCAACAAGCACTATATTCATGCAGTTTTTAAAAAAAATCAAACTAAATTCGGATGATTTTTTTCAAGTTATGAGTACAGCTAATTTAGAAAATAAGTTAGTAATCTTGTACTTATAGGTGCTAATTTATAAAAAAAAATTGCATTTCATGATAAAATTAAAATATGTACAAGAAAATAAATTTATAATTATTAAGTTTAATTGTCCCAATCGTAGCAAAATTCATCAAAAAATCCTTTTTAACAGAATTTTACTGTGTTGCTCCCCTTTAATAAGAAAAACATACAAGTGTTACACAGAACAAATAAATAAATTTGATCTATTTTTGTTCAGTAATGTTTTATCATCACTTAGATCACATTCATTCAAAACAAAATAAAAATTTGTTATTATAAAATAAATGTCACCAATAAAAAAAAATTTAAAATAAAAAATTTAAAAAAATGGTGAAAAACACTCTTTTCCATAAGTTTAACTTTCTCTTTAATAATTTTTTTCTTCCTCTGATGGGAAGAATGAAAGTAAAAACAAATCAAGAACAGAATTAGGTACTTTTTTTAATTTAAATCATATAAAGTTATCTAACACAAAAAAAATTTTTTTTAAAGAGATTTATTACTTTCATTACCAAAAAGTGTCCAGAAAATAGAACTTTGATATTGAGCATTCAAAAAATAAACTTTTTACTATAATATAAAAAATAAAAAAATTCACTTATAGAAAAAAAAATATTTTCCCATTTAAAAATAATTCTCTATTCAAAAGTGTCATATTGACTTTCAAAGTATATAACTCAAAAAAATCTATCAGTTCTAAAAAATTTCATTAAAATAAGTCTTGGTATCATTTACATTTATTGCCCTTTTCAGCAACTTTTATTAGTTTCAAAGATTAAAAAATATCATGGGTGCAACAATTTTTACTTTTCAAAAAAAAAAAAAAAAAAAAAAAATTATTCTGATTTTTAAAAGTGTCTAAAAATTTGAGTGAGTTTAAATAACACAAAAGCTTATTTTCAAAAAAAAATTATTAGAGCTGCTTTAATTTTTTTAACTAAGTAATAATTTTTAAAGTATGCAAACACAACATACAAAATTGGTGGAATTGACCAAAATCCACTATATCTAATGTATTCAAACATTTTAAACGAATTTCAAACTTTCATAAACGTGAACAAAGTTGCAGACCTTATATCCTAACTGCTCGATAATCTCTAAAATAGGTTTTGTCAGACCAGATTCTTTCCAATTTCTAATGGGATTTGGTATACGTCCACCTTTAATTGCAATGTTGAAATCTTCCCTAAAGATTCTCCAGTCTCTTTCCGTCATTTCCTCAATGGACTTTTGAGACCAATGACGATCATCCCATTTCTGTTTGTCTTCTTTCTTTTTGATTTTCTTTAAGCGAACACTAAAACAGAAAAATTAAACAATATATGAACCTGTTTTTTTTTTTTTTTTTAAAGAGAAATGCTTAAGAGATCAACACTACAAGAGTGAAGCAACTATCACTACGATTATTAAACACAAATGAACTAGTATATAAGACGTGTTAACTCAATTCTATCTTCTTGAAGTACCTTTAGATAGATGAAGTTTGGCATTGTCGATAACTACTCGCCCCACATTAGTAACCCGGACGTGATATGAACTCGCTTACCTCGGCAGTTAAGCAGCGATGGATGGTCCACAATGAAGAGTTGATTTGCTATTTGTGACTCCGACACTGTCCTCAAGCTGCTGCTTCTCAGTCTCATTTACACACAATGAGATCCTGCACACACTTGACTGCTAATAGCAACACAGGAGAGACCACACACAAGTGAGCTCAATACAACTCTCACAACAACAGTCAAAACTCGGTGAACTTAATATAGCTCTCACAACTAGCGCTCAAAATCTGGTGAACTTAATACAGCTCTTCCAGTCTTTCAAACTAGTGGTATTTGTTTATGGAATTCTATACCTGATAAAATTCTAGCGGGGGAATATTGTGGCCTAACTACCACTACAATTATTAAACATAAATTCACTATTATATGAGACGTGTTAACTCGATTCTATCTTGAGGTACCTTTGGATACATGAAGGTTGGCATTGTCGATAACTACTCGCTCGGTTCTCCTTAGAGAAGAAAAAAAATTTGTCTGCTGATTTTAGGAATACCTGACATATGCTTTAAAATATGTCATTTGTTGACTGCAAGTCCACTAATTTCTCTTTTTGACAGCTTACTATCAGAGCCTGACTAAGGCAGGGGCATTAGGGGCAGTTGCCCTGGGCCCCCACATCAGAGGGGGTCCCCAAAGATTTTTAACCGGGCACCAATTAGGCTAAGTCTAGCTTATTATTGAAATCAATATTCAGAGTTATCAATGATGTCAAAAACTATTGCACTTCATTCAATTTTTTTCCTTGCATTTTGCAGAAACTCCCTGTCTAGTCAACAATTTGCAAGCAAAAGCAGTCAAATGTATTTTAAAAATATGTATTTCAAATTAAAATAAAATAGAAATAAATAAACGTGTACATTTCATCGTTTAGTCTTTTCCTCTGTGGCAGAATTTTTTCGAGCTATTTGCGACAAAACTCTTTAGTACTAATATCTTTCTTCAAGATACTTTTAATAATAACAAACATACACGTTACTAATTTAAAATATAAAAAAAGCACTGTGTTTACAAAATACGTATATATATATATATATATATATATATGATTTTGTTTTAACTGAACATGTAATAATTTTTAATTCTAATATTATGGGTGATATTCTCGCATTTTGTTGGGGCGGAGGGAGAGCACTAACTATTTCCTTCTTCACATTTTATAAATGATCATCACAAAAAAAAAAAAAAAATTAAAATCATGAAATCCGTAGTAGTAATTGCCGAAAAAAGATTGACGATGAAATCATGTGAATTGGACTCCTCAAAAAAAAAAGGTTATTCAAATGCGTGTTTTGTTTTGTACAAAAAAATATCGTATTTAAAAACTATGGAGAAATCAATAGCAATAACTGCCAAAAAATCGATAGAATTAATTTTCCATCGATTCTATTTTCAATGGATTTGAATTTTCCATATTGTTTGAAATATATCGGGATATTTAAAAACCACATGAAAATTAAATATCAATAACTGCCGAAAATACAATTGAAACATTGCATCGATTTACGATACTATTGGCGTAAATTGAGAGAGCCAAAAAGTGATTACTTATATACATGATTCAAATTTTAATGTAAATTTCTGCAGAAAAGAAAACTAAAATTCTTTACTTTTCAAAAAAATTCTCAAAATGCACAAAAAAAATTTTTTTTTAACAATGTTATTAAAGAAATTATTTTGTTTTAATTTAAACAAAATAAATTTACAACAAAACTTTAAAATAAATTATATCAATATAAATGATATAGAGTAATAACTGTGACCCAAAACAATGTCAATACAACATTTGTCAATGAATAAATATGAAATAAATAAAAAGAATTTACATTTCTTGTTCCTTTTCTGCATGAGTTCTTCTTAATTCTAAAAGTTCTCCATAGAATTTAGACTGTTCTTTCTTCTGAGACTAAATTTTAAAAAAAAATTCATAATTTGAATCCCTAGAGCAATTTTCAAATAAAATACAGTCAAACCTTGATATCTGGAATATTGAAAAAATTTGAAATATGAAACATTTGAGATAATTTTAGATTTTTTTTGAAGAAATCCATTTTTCTTTATAGACTTCATAAAAGAAATTACTAATTAAAAATCAAACTCTTTCATTTAAATTGCTGTAGCTTCAGTAGGTATTGTTATTTTCTTATTCAAAATTTATAAAATAATTTATTTTTATTTAATATTGGAATGTATTTAAAACGTCAATTAGTTAAATTATCTTTATTTATTTACTGATTCATTTTCTTTTCTTTCTTTATTTTTGTTAATTTAATTGAGAATTTGTAATAATTGCAGTTATTATTACTGTATGTTTCAGTTCGCTAAATTTAAATACCTTAAAATTATTTTGAGAAAACGAATATAAAAAGCATTGAAGGTAGTACTTAAAAACTGATTTAAAATTAATATTAAAATTAAAATAAAGAGTCTTAAGAAAACTGGAGCACTTTAATGTAGTTCTCATACATATGTGCATCCAGATAGAGCTTCATTTGTCACCCACATTTCAAGAATGATAATAAATTTAAATAATTAAATTCTATACAATGTATAACTTTGAAAATATATACCATTAGGCATACATTTTAATACAGAAAATAATTTATATTTTAGATTCTACAGAATGCATAACTTTAAAAATATATATCATCAGGCATAAATTTAAATACCGAAAATAATTTATATTTTAGATTCTATAGAATATATAACTCTGAAAATATAATACCTTTAAAAACAATTTAAAAGAGAAAGAAAATCTCAATTAAAATATTATTTGCTCCTGGCCTGAAATTTTATTTTTAAAAAAAAACTTGTTCATATAAAACAAATGTTAGGTTACAAAATCTGCCTCAATTTAACAAAAAGTCTGTAATTCTTATGGGGTGTGTAACCAAATCTTTCAACAAAAAAGAAGCCCAACTACTTTTTAAGCACTAAAAATATTTTTAAACACTATATACATTAACAAATTGCAAAATAATTTTCAAAGACTTTACATGATCACTATAAAATAACTAATTGTTGACAAAGAACTCTTTTCTTGATTACATTAGCCACCATATTAAGATAGAGAGATTTTTCGGTTCGATTTCAGAGGGCGGAAAATGAAACCTGAAATTGAGAATAGCTTGCAAAATACAGCAGAGTTGCTCATGATAGTGCAAGAATAATTCTCACTGAATCTAGCTCACTATACACACATGCAGACCAGCAAGCATTTCCTCAAACATATATAATGATTGGCGCTTTCATATGCTACGGAATGACGGTACGCTGAAATGCAATGTGTCTGAATGAATTGTGAAAATTTTGAATAGAATAATATGAAAATCACGTTTTTGCCTAATACGTGGTGAAAATCGACACCGTGAAGAAAAAAAAATCTCATTTCGAAAGGGAAAATTAAGTACTTTTTAAAAACCTCCAATAAAAAAAGTACCTTTAAGCACTTTTAAAAAATGCTACACGTGATGTGAACATACCTACCTTGGCAGAAATACCCACTACGATTTGAACACGCCTACTTCAATGGATGGCCTACATTGAACAGTTCACTTGGTACTTGTGACTGACATTGTCCTCCTCACACTGTTGCTTCTCAGTCTTGATTACACACAACGTACACACTCGACTGCTAAAGGCAACACAGGAGTGACCATGATCGTGAACTTAATACAGCTCTCACAATCAGCACTCAAAAAAGTACGGTGATCTTAATACAGCTATCCCAGCTTCTCACAAAACTGCAATGAATCAACTTGTGGTATCCGTTAATCGAATTCTATCACAGATATAATTCTGGTGGGGAAGTACTGTAGTGTATCTACCACTACAAAAATATAATTCTAATTCACTAGTATAAAAGACAAGTTAACTCGATTCTATGGTGGGGTACCTTTTCATAGATGAAGGTAGAAATTGTTGATTACTCAATCCCCACAAAAACATTGCTTTCCAATAAAGTAAAATGCAGCCTAAAGAAAAAGAAAGATTTAAAATAACGATTAAGAATATATGCATTACTTTCAAATCTATTCCAGCAACATGGCCTCTCCCAAAGAACTGCACAGTATGTCTTTCTTTATAAATAGGGTTGTAATCTACAGCAGTATCTTCTGAGGCATCCCAATCAAACACAAATTTTCTGTCATTCAAACGTCGAACACGTCTCTTCTTTTTTATCAAACCTAAATACCTTTCCTGAAAAAAATATATTAAAAAACATCTTAATCTCAGATTAACTTTGTTCCCTTCAATAAGTATTAATGTGTATTTTTAAGCAGTAATAAAAAGAGAAATCAAAGTGCATATAAAAATAACAGTTAAAAAGCAATTTCAAAGGAAAGCTGCGCAATGCAGCAGAAATTTCACAGAACAATTGAAACCAATAGAAAATTTTAAAAAAGATAACGATGAAAAATATAACAATGACAACCAAAGCAGACATAGCCAGGAGGTATCAGCCCCGAAACTCATAAAAATACAAAACCTTTTCTACTGAGAGAGCATGATTAATTTCTAAAATTTGCTTTCTCTGTACCCCAAAGGTTTTACAAGAAGTCCAGGAAGAGAGAAAAAGACTATAAAAAATACAAAAACAAAATACGAAAGTAAAATACATAAATTAACTACAAAATTTAAAATATTTATTTTTCCTTTTGTAATTAGTTTACATATTTTACTTTTGTATTGTCTTTTTCTCTCTTCCTGGACTTGTTGCAAAACCTTTGGGCGACCCCTGACAACATCAGCTTCGATTCTCATTATTATATTTTTCAGTTATCTTTTTTTCAATTTCCTATTGTGTATTTATGCCCATTCTATGCCCATCATTAAGAGGATATAGCACATCTGAAGAGCTAAAATTTGACAAAAATGTTATTTAGAATTATAATTAGAAAATGTAAAGACTCGTATGAAAATGTAAAGCAATATTATTAATAACTAATTTATTATTTTCTTTTTCATTAACTGAATTAAAGATGCATAAAACGACCAACAATAGGATAATTGATCAATAACTTTGTCACATAGCTGTGAAAAATTCATATCCTTGCTGACATTATTTTTTTTTTCCCTAACGGCAGGTACTGAACTTTCGTTCCTCACCTCGGAAGTGTTGCTCATGGGTGGGCCACATTCACACACAACAGAGGACAAGAAACATTCATGCCTAGAGGGGGATTGGAACCCGCAGCCATTGGCTTCGCAGTCCATTAGGTACTCGAGCAAAGTCCATTAGGTACTCGTGCAAAATATGGTGAAGACAACAGCACAAATTCATAGTCATTCATGGTAATCATAACTCCCAATGCTTCAATATGAAAGATAATTTAGTATCTGTTTACATAATATCAATACTGTAAATTTATATTTTCTTTAAATCAGAAAAATTATGTCTAAATTAAATACCTTTTTACCATGAAATATTGACTCATTAAAATTTTTTATCATTATATAGCATAAAATTATGAATGCCTGTACAGGGTGCATAGCTAAATCTTTCAACAAAAAATAAGCACCTTTTAAATAATTTTTAAGCTCTCAAAAATATTTTTAAGCACTATATACATTAACAAAATGCAAAATAATTTTCAAAGACTTAGATGATTATGATAAAATAACAAGTTTCTGACAAAAAAAACTCTTTTATTGACTATATTAGCCATTATAAAATGATCGAGAGCTTTTTCGGTTCGATATCAGAGGGAGGGAAATTTAAGCCCAAAATTGAGAATATCTTGCAAAATGCAGCTGAGTTGCACATAAGAATGCAATAATCTCACTGAATCCAGCTCGGTAAACACACACGCAGACTTCCAAGTATTTCATCAAACATCTAAAATTATTGGTCCCTTCATAAGCTATGGACCGACGGTATGTTGAAAAAGATTGTGGTTGAATGAATTGCGAAAATATCGAATAGAACAATGTGAAAAGCACGCTTTTGCAAAATGCATGGTGAAAATCGACATGGTAAAGAAAAAAATCTCATTGTTGAAAAGGGAAAACTAAGCACTTTTAAAAAACACCCAGTGAAAAAAGAACTCTTAAGGGATTTGAAAAACGAAAATTGAAAACAAGTACCTTTCATAAAGAGCCATATGAACTCCACTCCGCCTTTCATGCTGATGGAAAAGTTTAAGTGTGTGCGAGGGTACACACCTTAAAAAGTAAATCATCAACAACAAAAAAATATGTTATCTACTAAAAATAAATCATAATAAAGTATACTAACGCGTATAGCTTCCAATTCTTTTTCTTTGTCTTTCAATTCTCTGACTTTATCTCTATCAGATTCATTAGCTGCTGCAGCTGCAGCAGCTGATGCTAATGCTTCTTCCGCTTCACGTTTTTCTCTTCTTTCTCGTCGTTCCCGCTCCTTATCATTTTCTGTAATAAAAAAAGTTATATTTATATCTTAATATTCACTTTATTTTAAATTACAAAAAATAATAATTTGAAAGCAAAAAAAATTTCTTTCTGAGATCTTCACTTTATAAAACAGGCCATAAGACCATAAATAAGACCTCTGGAAAGAAAGAAACAATACAAATAATCCCACAACTAAAAGATTATTATCATTTTCTGACATAAAAAATCTAAGTTATATTTATAGTTTAATATTAAAGAAAAGTTGAACCAGGAGCGGCAACAAATGGAAACCTTTGAGGAGATGGATTTGGTTGGACATTGCTTATCTCCTTCCAATCAACGGATATATCTTCTTCTGAACTATCTTCAGAATCACTACTGTAATTATCACTCTCTTCTGAGCTGCTTTCCGACAAATTTAATATAAAGATACACTTAACTTTGCAAGTTCACAACACATAGGTAAATATTGAACTAAACTACAAAACAAGAGAAAAAAGTGTTTGATATTTCACGACTAAATCGTAAAATGTAAGAAACAATAGCCTTTAAATAAATTCACAAAAATACAATGATGGATTGCAGTCAGTCAAAATTTACGAAAATACTACGACGGATTGCAGTCAGTCGCCACGAGTGCAGGAATGCAAGAATGCTTGCCCATCAAACTGTATATAAAACAAAAGAAAGCACCTACAACGTGCAAATATAAGTGTATCTTTATAGACAGTCAGTTACTTTGTGATTCCAGAAAATAAAATTGGTTATATTGGATATTTATGCAATTGGTATGTTTCTCATTTTCAAATTATTATTATTATATTTTATTTTATATTATATTTTAGTAAAATATAGATAGAAAAATGAGCGATTCAGAATCTGAATATGAATACGCAAATTTGTCGTAAAGCGGCTCAGAAGAAAGTGATTCTGGTAGTAGTGATTCTGAAGATAGTTCAGAAGAAGATATAGCCGTTGATTGGAAGGAGATAAGCAATGTCAAACCAAATCCATCTCCTCAAAGGTTTCTATTTGTTGCTGCTCCTGGTTCATCTTTTCTTTGGGTGGACAATTTTGATACACTACGCTTTTGTTTTTATAGGAAAAAGGCTATATTTTATTCTTAAATAAATAAGTGTTAGAGCTTACAATCCTATGTAAATGATAAATATCAATAAAATGATTTTTTTCTGAGCTTTCACATTGTTATTTTCAATTCTCGATTATACTCTAGTGTGAAAAATTATAGCAGCATAAAATAAAATGCCGCTCGAATCATATCGAGTGTGTATAGTTTGGCCTGTTTAACACGCTCAAATTAACTCGAGCGCACAAGTTACGGGGTTAATGAAGTTAATTATGTCAGGTTCAGTATATGGGTGATAAAGCTCTAAATTTGTTCTTTTAAACCAACCACACAGTTTTTTTTTTTTTTTGAATTCTTCCAAAAATACTTCTTAAGACCTTTCTCTCAAACGTACCCAACATAATCTCATCCGCACAAGGTATGGTCCAGGTTTCACAAGCATATACTAAAATTGATTTTAAAAGAAACATATATAATAAAACTTTTGTTTTTCTATGAATTACATTAGATTTTATGTATTTTTGAATTCCATTAAAACAACTATTGGGTATAGTGATTCTCCTTTATATTTCTATTGTAATATTGCTCCTGCTGTTAATTACAGAACCCAAGTAAACGAAATTGTCAACAACCTCAAATTTAATATGCTTAAAAAATTGAAAGAAAAATTTTTTAAAATGAGATTGCAACTATAGTAATCCACAATTTTTGATATTTCATGAAATTAATTTAATTCTTACACTATTTTACTTCATTTTAGTTATTCAATTTGCCGATCACTGGTCTAAAGGTTACTGTACTGGACTACAGCGGCAGTGGTTGTGGGTTCGAATCCTACCTTAGGCATGGATGTAACTTTCTCTTTCTCTCTCTCTGTTCTATTTTATTATTTCTCAAGACCTTTCTCTGTACAAAAAAAATTCTGTACAAAAAGAATATATTAAAAAGTTTGATATAAATGCATAATTCCAGTTGTAGCTACAGATAAATTTTCCTATTAGCACAGATATTCAAGTTAGTCACATGATACCGAATAGGAGCTTTTAGTCCTTCAATTATAAGGCTAACACTCCCTAACACCTACCTATCACTTGATAAGATACATGGTTAATACCTCCTTCAAAGTAAACCTTCCACGATTTACAGACGAAAAAAAGAAAGCAATGCTTGCCTGTAAGGCACAAGGACCTACGAAGTTGATATATTCACAATTAATCATCTATCAAGTTTCTGATTAAATGTTTTATTTATATGAACGCCTAAAAGATTTTACTCCTGTTATCTTTTTTTACCCAAGCTGCATTAAATACAGTCTTCAAGTTGATAAGAAAGTGAAAGAAATTTTCAGCATTTAAGGCGTTATTTCAGCTTGTGGGGTCTCATAACCTGTGCCCTCCAGATGAAGATCAAAAGATGCCGCTATCCGAATCAGCAGTTTCATCTCTCCTTTCTTTAGAAAGATTGGGCATCGTGACAAGAGTAAGATCTTAAGTAGAGAAATAGCTTAATATTTTTAGTGAAGGATAAGGGAAAAAATTTACATGCTTTAAAAATTATGAAAAGTTGCATAGATTTTTTTCTTGCAAAAAAAGTTTTTTTCTTCCAAATTTAGAAAAAATAGTCTCTGATTTCAAGAGATAGAAAATAACATTTCAGGACAAAAATGACTGCCCACATCCACTTTGCGGAGAATGCACATAATGGTTTATTCATAGGAAATTCATGGGAAATCAAAAATATGCCCATATTGAGGGGGGTCCGCTTCGCGGAAGTGCCCACATCAGGAGATTTCCCTGTATACAAATTTCGTGATCATTTAATAACAGAAATCATAAAAGAGCGGAAGTTGTGCCAAAGGTTTGACAGGATGTGCAAAAAAAACAGAAAAACTTTAATTCATTAAGAAGAAACTTGGTAATACCTTGAGAATGTTTGGCCTCTTCCATAAACTGCATTCGAATTTTTCTTTCCTCATCCATTCTCTTCCTTTGTTCCTCCACCTCTTTTTGCCTCCTTTTTAGGGCTTCAGCAGCTCGCTGCTCTTTCGTTAGAAATACAGGCTAAAAATTGAAAAATATACTCTAAAGAAAAAATATATAATACAGTCCTTGACCAAATTACTGGACACACTGTAGTGATTTAATAATGACATGTTTTGCACAAGTTTATACGCAATACTTTTATATTTAGACATAATACATGTCATGGGTTTTCATTCGTAAGATTTTTCATATACTTCATATCTGTATTTATTTTTAATGTATTGCATTACAATGTTAACCAACTGATACACCAACGTAAACAAATGCAACACTTTAACTAATTTTTGAAACTGATGTTTTAAAATACCAAAAATCAGACTCAAAAATGCATTTCTTTTTTTTTCTTTTCTTTATTTTAATGAACTGGAATTTTTGACTTTAAAAAAATGGGGAAAAACAGCAATCCAAAAAACGTAGTTACACCAATACAATAAGAAAATGATTAAAAGTTTGAATAGCTCAATGCTAATTTCATTTTTTGCGTTGTTTGCCATATTTTTGAGGTCATTTAAGATAATCAAATTATTTTTGCATACAGTTGTAAAACTCACTAATCCACTTATAATTCTAAGTTTAAAAAAATAATCTTTCAATAGTTTATTAATTTTGTATTATTAGATATTATTTTAGTAAAAAAAAAGTTTTGAATTGAAAAGTACACAAATGTTTACTTCATTCTAAACTATATAATTTCAGATGACAAAATCTTAAAAATTAATCAAAAATGAAATTTAAATCGTATCTGAATAATAATATTTCAAATTTTAATTTTTCATAAAATATTTCACTGAATCTGTTCAAATTTTTGATTTTGGTATTTCAAATTAAATTGTTTAAAATGAGGTAGTAATTATAATTTTAGTAACTTTTGACCATTATTAAATTTGTAATAAATGATTATAAAAAAGAACTCTAAGGATTCAACAAATTTTATAATTCTGAGCAAATTTATTTTTTTTATTGTAAACAGTTCCTGGTATTTGGTGAAGAATATAAAAAGCAAAATAACATTAAAAAGATAAACTCTTTGACTGAACTTCTGAGATCATTGAAAACAACAAATTTGTGGTGATAAAATTTTGAGTAAAATTCTACGTTTGTACGTAATTCTTTGCTTATTAGCAACAGAAATTTTTAGCAGCTCTTGTTGTGACACACATAGCGAATTTATTCAATAAATGGAAAATAATTTGATAAAATTAGATTAAAATTTTGTCTGATTTTGGATCAAATATCTTTTGATTGGTTTCATGCAACTTGCAAATTATAAATATAATAACAGATGTTTACACCTGGGTGAACGTGTCATTATAAAACTACTGTGTTCCTTTTTTTTTTAAAAAAAAGTGTACCACTGACAATTGTTTTATATCCCCTTAATGGGTCGCATTCATTTCATCGACTAGGTAATTTCATCGACAGGGTCATTTCATCAACAAGTCATTTCGTTGATAGGGTCATTTTGTCAACAATGTAATTTTGCCAACAGGGACCTTTGGTTGACAATTTGTAGAACAGGTTATTTCGTAGGCTAAGTCATGCGCAATTTTGAAACTAGTTTTATGATTTTTCACATTAGACGCTATGCCCCTTGCACTTCTTTGTAATTTAGTATATTTGTGTTGAAAGTTTTTAAATCTAGCCTGATGCAAAATCTTAATAGTATGTTGAAGTTGCCAGAAAAGAAGTATTTTATTTATAAATTGCTTACTCTTCTATTCACATCACGTCCAAGAACGAGACATTTTTCACATTTGGTGATCTAATTCTTTTTCACACATTTAAGTTGCATATTACACAATTTTTTTCTACTTATATTTAACACATTTATTTCTAAGATTAATTTTCAATGTACATTATTATAGATCATCATCGCAAAAGCATTGCAATAACTATTGTGAATTATTCTTAATGTAGAGAGTGAATAAAGGGTGAAATTAGCAAAGAAAAAAAGACAGTATATAATGAATCTGAGGGATAGTGAAACCATATGGTTGATAGGACATTACATTGTAAAGATCTTTTCGATAACAGGCCATTTTAGCTGCAAAAATTCTCTGTCAATAAAAAGAAAATTATACTTATATAATGTTCCCCCCACAATGAGTAATATGCATTAATACGGTTTAAAATCTTGTCAAAAAAAAGGAACAAACTTTTACAATGATAACAATGGTGACAATTAAAAAGAATTTAATCAGAAAAACACAAATCTTTTAGATAGTTAGCTAGTCAAATTACTTCTTGTTTCATCAAAAATTTATATATTCCCTGCGTTTATAAATTTATTTTTTCAAGCTCAGATGAATTTTTTTCATATGCAAGTATTCATTAATTTCGTTACTATTTACATAGTAAAAAAATTTTCATAGAGAAAATTTCAATATTTATACATTTTCTCTTTAAAAAAAATATCGATACAGGGAAAAGAAACTAAGATGTATGAGGGACTATTATGAAGGTTGGTGAGCGAAGTCAGCAAGGGTAGTTCCTAGTATTATAAAAATATTGGAAAAAAATGCATGTGGGAAAAAATAAAATGAAAATCCAACTTGGAAAACATATTGGGAAATATTGTTGAAAAAAATTTTTTTTTGTTCTTATCCTCTTCCTCATGCCTTTGCCAGCTATGTTGCAGAAAAGGGAAGTTTCAGACATTTCTTGCGAAATTTACTTTTGTGAAATTTAAATGAAATATATTTGAGACAAAAAACTTGTTCTCGCATTTCCAGTTTATTTTATTTTTTACTTAATTAATTATTTATAACGTTTTAATGCCTAATAGTTTAATATGCATTTTATCCTATGTGTTCCCCAAACATTTATAAGTTCTTTGACCTTATGAAATAGACATCGTTAATGTAAAAAAAAAAACTCAAAATGACTCCACTTCCTCTGTATGCAATGCAATCGAAATGATCGTGTAAAAAATGGTTCCAAATCAGAGGGGAGGAAACCTGTCTAATTGGTTTTTATGATTTAAAACATTTAGAAAAAAAATGCAACTAATTAGGATATAACAAATAAATTGACTTTTGAGTTTATCATTGAGGAGAGTTGTCCATATGCATCTAATTTTATTCTCATTAATGTTTAATTAAAAATAAGTTTAGCAAACTTATTTTTTTAACAAATATTAAAATGTTTTTCTTTTCAATTTCCAAAAAAAATAAAAAATTATTTAAATTAATAAAATTTGCAATGAGAGTATATATTTTGAAGGCGAGCACTAAGGAAAGTCCTTTAAAATGAGTAATCAGAAATGGAAATGTTTCTAAACATCATGTTTGATACGTGCATTGAAAAAGAAATGTTAATTTTTGTCAATGGTTTATGCTATGCATGAAAATTTTTATACATTTATTTTCTCATTATTAGTCTAATGAACAAACTTGATATTTTAAATATATAAAAAAAATTATTTTCATTTTTTTCTACATTTTAGTTTTGAGTCTCCTGCTTGTTCAGGCCAAAAATAATCAAAATTTTGATTGGCGATAAGTTCTGCTAATAGTGGTCAGAAAGCGTTTGAAAATTGTGTTTTCATCCTGTACAGAAAACCAGTTAAAAATTTGAGCACTTTAACTAGTAGAAAATTGGTCGCAATTTTAATTGCAAGATTTTTCTTTTCTTTTTTGTAGAGTAATAGTTACTTATTCTTACGCTTAAATTCCAGGTTTGATTTTTTGTTAATTTTCTTTTAAACAAAATGTGTCTAATTTAAATCCTGCAAATAAAAAGGGATTAATTCATCATTTATTTACCACTATTGTTATTCTTATTAAATTATACTACAGTACAGAACCCGTTATCCGGAAATCAGAGAACCGGAAAACCAAAAAACCGGAACGAAATTCGATAAATTTTCCCGCCATTTCGAAAAAAAAAATTTTTTTTCCTCATAAGATTTTAGGATTTTTCTTTCTTTTTTGAAAGATGTTCACCTTACCATCATTATGGAAATAATCATTAGTGTATTACTTCATCGTTTTTTCTTTTTAAGATTATTTCCAAAAAAAAAATTTTTTTTTAGTTGGGTTTAACAATAAAAAAACGGCTTTTTGTAGCGATTCAGAAAACCGGAAAAATCAGTTATCCGGAATAGCGATGGTCCCGATCGTTCCTGATAATCGGTTCCCTACTGTATTAATATTTAATTAGAATAATAATTTAATAACATTAGCTTAGAATATAATAAATAATACTATCATTAAATTCGCCATCCATAGAAAAAAAATATTTTGTGAACAGCAAACACTAACATGCTTGCAATGTTACGCCAGTGTTTCTAAACATTTTTGGTCCGGTAAGTAGTATTTTAAACATTGTAGGAGTCTACAACTGCCTCAATAAATACCTAAACATCATGTTTGCGTTCCTATAGTTCTTAGAAAACTCAAACAGTGGTAACAAAACTAAGACTAAGTTTGATTTTGATTATTTAGTTCGAATGTTTGAATAAGCATATTCATTCATCCTGTCCTAATGTTAAAGATGCTGAATAAAAAGTTTAAAATTGCAATTAAAGTAAACATTAAGAAATTACTTTTCCACTATAAAAAACCTAAAAAAAAATTTATTTTACTTATGCAGATTTAAGGCCTATGATTATTTTCATTTTTGATTTAAGGCCTATGATTATTTTCATTTCTGTGAGAATTAGAAGTCTATGTTTTTGTTAAAATGTACATAAAACTGTTGAAAATTTTTACAGCAATAAATTTAGCTTCCCCCCCCCCCCTGAAATAGTGTCTAAATTTTTACTGTATACTTTAATTAATTTGAATTCTAAGAATATCTCATTTTATTAATATGATTTGATATTAAAAATAAATTTATTTCTAACATCACACTACATCAACTGTTGACCACGGTCCGGATAACATGCTTGGTAATGTTCCTTACCTATCCTGAAAACAAGTGTCGAGCTATTACGATTTAAATATAGAAAAGTAGATTTTGATACATCAACCGTTCTCCATGAAACGTTTCTCAACTACCTATCAAATTATTTAAAAAGAAAACTTCTTTTAGAGCAATTGGAACAATACACAGCAAAAAAGTATTTTACTTTAGTATAAAAATTAAATAACAGCATTCTTCTAATTAATAATAAAAATATTTAAATTAAATCTCTAAAATAGTTTCAGAATTACGCATGACACTATCAACGAAATGATCCTGTTGACGAAATGACCATGTCGACGTAATAGCCTATAAGATATGACTCTATCAACGAAATGACCATGTCAACGAAATGACCCTATCGATGAAATGACCATGTCGACAAAATGACACTGTCGACGTAATAACCTATGAGATATGACCCTGTTGAGGAAACGACCCTGTCGAGAAAACGGCCTGTTGACGAAATTACCTAGTCGATGAAGTGGTGTCGATGAAATGAACCTGATCCCCCTTAATATGTGCACCCTATATGACATAACAAAGAACTCCCACCAATTTCAAAACTACAAAGCCTCTTGTCATCAAAAGTTTTAGAAAGAATAAAAAAAAGTATTACTATCAATATATATCGATATAGAGACCTCATGGGATGGGAGTTAAACATTGATAGATGGCTCATGGGAGTTAAACATTGGTAGCCATAAACCCCAAAATTGGGTCGGCTGTTCAACGACGGTTATAAAATAAATATCAATATAAAAAACTAAAAAAATTTCTGCATCCTAAGAACTATGCACAAAAATGTTAACATAATTCATCACATGAAAACCTTTAAAAATCTAAATAATAGCAAAAAACTCTCAAAAAAATCTTTTTCAATCCCACCAATTGCAGCACATTCATCAAATAAGACAATTGTGAATGACACGAATGGCTTTTAAAAAATGACCAACATGCATTTTTAAGACTTCCTATGCATTACAACAATAAATATAAAAAACTAAAAAAAAATTCTGCATCCTAAGTACTATACACAAAAATGTTAACATAATTGATAACCTGAAAACCTCTCTGAAAATCCTAAATAATAAGAAAAAATCTTTTTCAATCCCACCAATTGCAGCACATTCATCAAGTAAGACAATTGTGAATGTCACAAATAGCTTTTAAAAAAGGACCAACGTGCATTTTTAAAAAAACTTATGCCTTACAACAATAAATTCCTGATTTTTTCAAAATCTTTGAAAGTCTTTTACTTTAAACTTTCTGAATGAATTGAGACTGCCATACTGATTAATATAGGAGCAACCTGCATGCTTTTTGAAACATCAAGTAATAAATGTTGAAGTTCTTTTTCCTAAACTGTATTATTGAAATTTATTGTTGCCATATTCTATTAAAATATTCTTAAATGTGAGTACTACTGATAACTTGAAAAAATTCTAAAAATCACATTTTTGATTATATATATTTTTCTCCTTTGTGAAATGAAAAATTTATCTTAAGATACCTTGCTCCTTGCCATTTCCTCAGCTTGCTTTTTTGCCATAAGTTCTTCAAGGGAAAGAGGCTCTTTCTTAACTTTATCATTTTTACCATCTTCATCTTCTTCTTTAATGCTAGAAAAAAAATATATTAACTAAGTGAAGTGCTGATAGAAGTTGTTTTTTAAAAGCACCAGTTTCTGAAAATTTTCCATAGGCTATCAATTACTATCCATTATTCATACAAAGAAATTTACAAAGAAACTTTTGTGCTAAATAAATTTATTTTGTGTAAGATCCTATAAAAAAAAACAGATCTTTACTAAGTGCATTTTTCATGAAATATAATGAAAATTTGTATTATAAACCAGAATAAGAGTGGACACAAATATTAATCATTCAAAAACAAGTATAACAAACACAAAGCCATGTTTTTCTTTCACTATTTATTTGCGGTCAAGGAAAAATTTTAATAGTAATATTAAAATTAAATGTTTAATTGGATGCCAATATTATGCCAAAGTTACTATTAAAATAAATGATTTGATTCAACATCCAAATTTCTGAAATAATTAATTGCCTTGAATTAACTTTTATAACAAATAAGTTTGTCTATCTTTGAAAATAAAAAGGAATGCAGCAGTACAGGTCTTTGCCATTTCTTTCTGCTGAAGAATGCCCTAAGAAAGAGAAATTCAAAGGCAAACATTTTGTCATGCTCAAAATAAAAAAAACAGGAGACCAACTTCTCAGAAGAAAGTGGATTAGTAAAGACTTTTGAAGGAGGCCAGGACTCACAAAGAAAGGGCAGTTTAGCCAGTGTTGCTGACAATCTGTTCTAAAGAGCTTGTCTCAAAATTCAAAGAAATTAAAATTCAAAAGAAAGGTCTATTATAAATTAAGAACTGAATCCAATAAAAATAATGAAGAAAGAAAAATTCAATTTTTATAAAGATTTTAAAAACTTTTTATAACTCTGTCATATTAAACATAATGTATCGAAATAGTGAAAAATTTGCTGACATTCTATCAAAAATATTATATCTGAAATCTAACTAACACTAGAAAGAAAACACCGTTGAGTTAACTACTTCTAATTGATAACCCAATCATTAGTATTTATTTTAAAATAGTAAATAACCCCACCCTGATCAATGTCCAGAAACAAATACATAAGACACTTTCTAAAAATTCAAAGACTGATGAAGATTTGCAATCAATAAAAAAAAAACATTTTTAAATGTATAATTTAGTTCTATAATAACTACATTTATTTACAAATTCAACCGCAAATTAGATACTACCTCTAAGACAAGTGTTTATGTATAATTAACATATAAAATTATACTATTACACAATACATTTTAAACTTATACTTTACTTATTTTTATCTTTGCGATCTTTTTGCCTAGACTTATCTTTGGATTTATCTTTCTTTTTGTCTCTTCTCTCTTTATCACGTTCCCTTTCTTTATGCCTGTGGCGGTCTCTGCTTCTGGATCGTGACCTATGAATAAATTCTATTAGTTATTTAATCATTTTTCTGGCTTCGAAAGTAAAGTAAATTTTTCTAAATAAGAGTATAAAAATTAACTTACACATGAAATCTAAAAATGTTAAATTTCAATTAAATACAAAAAAAAAGTAATGTAATATAAGATACCTTCTTTCTCTACTTCGAGAACGCTTATGACGACGAGGACTGTGGGATCTTGATCTAAATAACAAATATTAATTTAAAAATCTTTTTTTTTAAAAAACAATTATATGACTGAAACAAATAAGTAAGTGTATGATCTGTTATTGAAAGCAAAACTATAGTAACAAGCTAAACATTTTATATTTAATATTAAAGAGTAAACTGGTCGCTGAGAAACAAAAATAAAACTGATTTTATTTCATATATAAAAATTCTGGTACTCTGTAATTATTCAACATAAAGATTTAATGATGTTTGTAGTACTATATGTTTTAAAATTGTATCATTAATACCACTTTTATGAGAAACTTTATAAAGAAACGACAAAGTTATTAAATAAAGAATAAAAATTTACCAAGAACTCTAAAATCTCAGAATAACTTTTCAGCGGTGCGAACTTTCTGCTATCAGAAATCAAAAGTACAATAACACAGAAACAAAAATAGAGTTCTCAAAATTCAAATTTAGAGCAATTTTAAGCATTTAATTCCATATACATACACATTATTGAAATCATGCATGATTTTACCATTAAGTAAAATAAAAAAGTAACACTCTGTATAATGAAGTGTTACTAAGTAACACTTCATTGAACACTGATAAAATTAAATTGATCACTTTTTTATCATCCTGCATTTTTGTCACTACATTTCAGATTTCAGTTCACATTCTTTCGCTTTTTTAAAAAGGCAGAAGATAAAAGTTTTAGAATAACTTGTTGAAAGGAAACAATATTATATTTCTTTTTTTTTAATACCAAATAGTTTTTGCTTATTTATTTATGGTCTATATTATTTATGAGGAGTAGAAAAAAATATCGTAGATTAGTTGCAAACATCAAAATTTCATAACTCTATGCAGTAAAGGGGGCTGACGTATTTCTAACAGATTATTGTAAAATTATCAAAACCCTAATTTTTATTACTCAACAGTAAGATCGTAATCTTGACTATAAAATTGCAATAATTACAGATAATTTATAAAAGTTGACACCTTTGGTTATTTAAGAATTGCACCCCTTGGCATAAATGTACTGAAATTTCCTAGCTATCCCTGCTTTTCCATAAAATAATGTGGGTAAGAGCAGATTTTTTTTTTTTTTCAATGCAGGAAAGTCTGCAGTTAAAGTAAGAAAAAACCAGGACTTTTGTAGACTATAATTGGCAAGATCCAATTTTCTTATATGAAGATTAAAATTTATTAGGTTGTCATCACATTAAATTAATAAAAATTATTCAAGTATTTTTTACCAGTAAAATATTTCTTTATCCTAAATTTTAAGATTAAATGATATTCGAATAATTTAAATTTAAAGAGAATTTAAAGACTTGTAATATTTATTCATCATTCTCTCTAAATAAGTTTTTGGTTCAAAATTTTGAAACTTAAAACTGAAAATTGTTTCATTAATATGAAGTAATTATGATATTTCATTATGCAATATTTTATGATAAACATTTTTCATTACATATCTAACTATTTTATAATTATTAAACAGAAAATTAATTATATTTGCTTTTGCTATAAGCTTTGTGTAAAACAAGACAATAAATGCATAGAAAATAAGGAATTGAAAAGTGTGATACATTAGGAATTAACTTTTTGCATTATAACTAAAAACATTTAATGAAATTTTATAGAAACCAAAATTTAAATAGGGATTTAAAAGACAAAATTGTAGATACATTTTCAATGGTAACCAAGCAAAACAATTATATGTTTAAATTTAATTTTAATAGAATTAGGAAGTAAACCTGAGAAATCATAGTATCCGAGTAGTCTGTAATATAAATTACGAATAGATAATGGCATCAGACCTAAAATTTACTTCAGTAACTGCAGTTAAAATGTAAACAAAGCCCCATTAACAAAATACCTAATAGTTTAGATAATATAGTTAGTTTCAAACATAGTCAATAAATAGTGTCAAACTTTGGTATCTCGAATTTTTTTAGGCCTCTTGGTAATTTTAAATCTCCAGGTATGAGTATAAGATTTTTTTTCTAAAAATGCATTTTTTTTTTTTTTTTTCCTGAAGAACAAAAGTAAAATTAATCAAAAGATTCTGTAGCTAAGAAACAGTTTGTGCTTTTCAAATTTTCTTTATGATTAGAAAAATAACTTTAAATTTAATCTAACAGTTAGAATGTGATTTTTATATAAAAAATTAAATATAAAAAATAATGATGAGATTTATAAAATTTTGAAATTCAGATTGAGAAAACAACTTTTATAATTTATTTTTATCACCTAAAAAAACATAGAAAGGATAAAATATTGCTTATAATATTGAATAATAAAAAACAAACCTTCGCCTTTTTTCAGATCTTGATCGATCAGATCCTCTTTCCAGACTACGACTTTTGTCATTATAATCAGTTCGACTTTTGTCATTATGCTCAATCCGAGTTTTGTCATTATTATAATCTAAATTGCGGCTTTTGTCATTATAATCCATCTAAAATAAAATAAATATTTTACGAAATTGAAATCTAATAATTCATAATTTCTTAATGAGCCAGTAGTTATAGGTATCAATTTAGAAAAAATTGCTGCCAAATTTTTTTTACCTGTATTGGTAACGTAGGGCGACCGGGGATTTCAGACCCCCACCCCCAATATTTGAGGAGTCAGAACACAAAGTTTTGAGACAAAAATTACTTTTGTTTCATTTTCCATAAAAAAAACTAAATATGTTTTCTTTACATGTAAATTTAAGTATAAAAATAAATCAAAAATATTTACAAAAAGTAAATATACCATGAAAAAAAAAAAACCGCATCAAAAAACAACAGCATTAACAAAAATACTATAATTGTTACTGCCATTTCACTTATTTCTTTTCCTTTGTTGTGCTTCAGACATAGTTTATAGTAACCTTTCATAAATATACCTAGAGTAGTATTTACAACTATTGTCTGACTTCATTTACTTTCATAGTTAGTTTGCAACTGCTTTATATAGTTACAAATGTAATATTTAATAATTCTTTATATATGTTTGAAAAGTAAGTAATTACATGGCAAGATATCTGAATTTTTTGTATTTATGTATTGAATGTTTTTATTGGGGAAATATTTTGATATAGAAGCACATATATTTTTTTATTTGTGACATGTTTTTGTCATATATTAGGAAAAGATGCTTCTATGAACCTATGCATCTTTTGGCATTTATTCATTTAACTGTCTCTCGGATCATTTTGAAAATCACAACAGCGTACAGATTAGTGAAAAAGAAGTAAAAAAACAAGATATTTGACTTTATTGTTTCATTATTTCTTGCTGAAAAATTTTAAACCAATTCCAATAACTGGTTAAAAATTCTTAATTTTGTTGTTTTTAAATTGCTAATATTAGCTTAGAAGGATTGAATTCTATATTGATAAACATTTTAATTAAAAAACTTTAAAAATTTAACTGTTAATATTGGTTACGTAGCTGGAATTTTAAATTTTAACTACTTTTATTATACATCATACAAACGGCTACTGATTTGGCTTTCAATGTGAAATGAGCAAAAAATGGTTAAAAATGTAAGAATTCATTTTAGCAGATAATTTAAGATAACACGTTAATTAAGAATTTATTTTAATGGCCAAAAAAAAATTGCTAAACTTGGTTCCTTTTATCAAATGAAAGACTAGGTCTAGAAGACAGAGGAACACGAGAAAAAATTTCAAAAATCTTGCTCTATTAACTTAGATAAATATTACTATGGCTTCCTTTAACTAGTAATCAAATAAATTATTTTTTCGGAAAGTAGACCACATAGCCATTTTATTTTCCCAGAAAAAGTGAATTTTTGTTAACCTTTTTAGAATATAAATATGAAATTTATCGGAAAAGTTCAAAACTCTACAGATTTTAAGCTAATTACAATTTTTTCTTAACACAAAAAGTCATTAGGAACATTTGTATTTCCTGTTAAAAGCATTGAGACTGTAAAACATTATTATGTCACAGAATAAGCTGCAATATATCCTATATATATATAAATCACCAAAGGGGAGCAACTTGAAAATTATAATTCATGGCCATCCTAGGGGAAAATCACAACATTTCTTTTTTTTTTTTTTTTTTTTATAAATTTTTCCAAGTTAAAAATTTATAGGAGCCTTAGCAAAGGTAGTAAGCATGAAACAGATTCGAATCTGGAAGTATTCCCATCCAAAGATCCCTCCAGTTAAAAATTATGGATATAAAATCTATCAATTTTATTGATGAAGCATTCATCTGCAAATGAGGTGACCCAGGTTCAAATGCCAGCAGTAGCTGGCTGATATGAATTCTACTCCAGGCTTGTCCTCACTATAGTGCTAACATAAAATATCCTCAGTGCAGACATATCATAAGTGAGTATCCCCTTTCCAAGAGCTAACTGTGGGAAGTTTTTGTGGTTTTCCTTTGCTTGCAACGCAAATGAGGGTTAGTTCAATCAAAATATCCTCATGGAGGCTAGTTTGTCCCAATGCTTGATCCTGGAATTCCCTTGTGTTCTGGGTTGGGTTCATAATTAGAAGGTAACAAAGTTCATCAGTGATAGTCGTATACTCAGAATTGGGTAGGCTGTTCAACACTGGTCATAAAATAAAAACGTACACAGAAAATTTTTTCTGCATTAGCGCCACTGTAGAGAACTATTAATAAAAATAACTTAGATCTAAGCAGACTAAAACAAAAGGTAAGAACTTAATAAAAAAGATAAAAGTTTAAATGTAATTGCAGATTTTAAAAGAAAAATTAAAAATTGTTTGCATAGAAAATTTCAAAGAATGTGCACAAAAATTAAATAAGTAAAATAAGCATGATGAAAAACAAAATTAAATAATAAAATTGGCTGACAGGAGCGAAGAAAAGGTTTAGATACTAATAATTTCTTTCATATTTTTCATTAATAAAAAAGACAAGAAACCTTTAAATAATATTCGAAAGATATCCGACAAAATTATTCACGGTATTCTAATATAATATCTTCTCGGTGTACAATGCGAAGCAATGTAAACAATTAAAAAACTACGTAAGTTTCCGATTATTCATTTCTTTCAAATAAAAGTAGTAAAACACGAAATTACTTAAAAGCTTAGGGCGCATTTTCACTATACAGGGCATGCATATGCAATCACACGCTATTTTCAGAAGCAATTTTACCGCTACTTTTTTGCGTTGTTCTGTTATTTGTGATGCTCCGGAATCCATATAAAAGGATAATGTTGCTCCGAAATCAATTGGACTGCTCCGAGATCCATTGGGATGGTGATCAGCTGAAATCCATACGAATATCGTTACTCTAAAATCCAATAGGTTGCTCTGAGTTCCATGGTTTTTGCAGCATCAAGATGATATAGGGAAGAGTAGGGGAAACCATTTTGTTTTAAATACTCGCTGTGGAAATATTGAATAATTTCCGTTTTTTCACTTGCCAGCACGACGAGTGCATCGATTAATTAAAAATCTAATGTCCATATTCTGTATAACTTTTTGTCGCGTATTCAATTCGCTTCAACTCGTCTTCATAAGTGCCAAAAACAAGATAATTCAATGTTGGAAACTCCCAATGGTTTAAAAAAAAAAATGGGATGGGTCCCTTATTAGGGGGACCTATCCCATGTCCCTTATCAGGGGGACCTATCCAGTTCATTTTAGGTTTTACAACCAAATAGTTCGTAATTAATAAAAGAATCAATATCCTTCATGATCCAACTCCTTCACCAGAGGCATATCGCAATTCAGATCAACAACATCTGGATCAGATAAGAGACAAGACGATGATTTAACTTCATCTGGTATTTGGTACCAGGGCAGCCGAGCTGGATCCATCAGGTACTCGAGTCGATAGAAAATGTAGAATATGAAGGTATCAGACATTGTCTCTGACTAAATCTCAAATGATATAGCTCCTCTGCGTGCGGGTCCTCTAATACTGTTAGAGAAGCACCACGGGGTCCAAAAAAAATCTCAGGGACCTGACATCAAACAGAATGGAATGTTTTGGAACACATTGAAGTCTTAAAATGTATTTGCAGTGCCTGAATTCCAACTGAATGGAGCGTTGTAGAAGAGTAGTTACCAACTGGCTGTCCACGAGCCGCATCCGGCCCGCAAAGCCTTTTTTTGTGGCCCGCGAACTAAAATATATTAGTTGTCGTTTTTCTACGAACACTTTTCGTAAAAAAATCCATATGGGTTTAAAGTACTTTTCTTCCGGTTAAAAAAAAACCTAATTATTCGTTTCTGTGAAATTTAGCATACCAAAGGTACAAAAAAATTTGTTTCTCAGGTTTTGCATTCAAGAAAATATTTATTCAAATACAAAAATAATCGTATATGTTGCTCTTTTTTATTTCGTTTTTTGTATTTTGTGAATATAATTTAGCATGTGCGCATTAGAAATTTTCTCGAAGAAATTCTCCCTTTTATATTTTGAAGCCACTAATTATGGACGGAATTTACATTTGTAAATTTTAAAACGAATAAAAGAGGGAACGAATATCATGTTTTATTTAAATTCCCTGAATTGAATATCGCTTGAGCGGAAAAGAAAAAAAAACGAATTTCATACGCTCGAGAATTTTTTTCTTGTTGTTGTTGCCATAATTCCTAATAAGTCGAAAAAATGTTAATTCATCACAAAATTAAATTTAAAAGGAAAAAAATCTTGTCATTAAGTTTCTGATTAAGAGAAGATTCAAAATGATACGTAACAAGCATTATTTGTAATGCTTGTTATTTTGCTTTTTAATGTTAAAAAAAAAACTTTGATAAAAATCTGACAGTAATATTTAATGTTCCTTCAAACATAAAAGAGTCCTATATGAAATTTCGATAAAGTTGTAGCCCGCCATTTGACTGGTGTTTTTAATTGCAGCCCCCGGCCACAAGTAGACGCTTCTAGAAAACCACGTGGTCAGCAAAAGTAGCTGCAAGGGCTGACATCATATGACAAAAACCCTGTGGACCAGGATGAGTTACGCTCAATAGAGATATTATCACAGGATGCGCTTTCTGATTGAACGACCTCAATATCTTGTTGACGAGATTTTCGTTAACCTTGGTAACTCTCACAAATTGATTGATTACAAAAAAAATTTTCAGTCGAAACAATTGCAGTTGGTTGAAATTGGTAATCAAGGCCCACTGTATTGAAGCGTTTTATGCCACTCGGGCAGAGATTTGTTTCCATCATCGAGTTTGAAACACATCAGCCGGACGAATTGGAACTATGCCATATGCCCTATTAGTGTTGCTTCCCTTCGAGGAAATTCTTCCAGACAACGGGGAGACTGATGGTTCTTACTCAAAATGCGTCAGAAATCTCAATAGATCTCGGAACATTACAAATCTAATTGATCTCGGAGCATCAAAATAGATTCAAGAACGTCCCAATAGATTTCAGAGCAACGCTATCGAAATGGATTTTAGACCATCCCAATGGATTTCGGAGCTGTCCAGTATTCTGGAACATAAGACAAAGGATCTTCATCAACTAACAATTTAAAAAAATAATTTTTTTACAATGTTGCGCTCCTTTGTTCTTGGAATAAAAAAAATTCTTCTGAGCTCCAACCAAAATTTTATTTCTAGTCCTAAAACATTCGGAATCTCACCATCCCAATTGATCTCAAAGTACCACAAAACCCAATGTATTTTGAAGCATCCCCATCTCAATGGATATCGGAGAATGATGAATCCCATGGAGCATCACAAACCCCGTGGATCTCAGAGCATCACAAATCACAATGGATTTCAAAGCAACGCTATTCCAATAGTTTCAAAGTATCTTAATGGATTTTCAGAACATCACCATCCCAATGGGTTTTCAGAGGACCACAAAACCCATGGATCTCGGAGCAATGAAATTTATTTCACAGCAATGTTATCCTCATGAAGCATCCCAATGGATTTTGGAGCACCCCTTGGTTTTTTATTGCAACGTAAACCCTATTACGTTTTAGAGCATCCCTATGGAGCATGGCATATCTCATGAATTCAGAAGCATTGCAATATGAATATTGTTCAGAGCAACGCAATGTAGCATTACCTTGATTGTGTAATTTGCTCAGCTGAAATGTTTTCACTTGACCGCAATCAAATGTTTGAGCTCACACAGCACGTGAGTCTAATCTTGTGAACCATGCGCATGTTTCAAAAAGCACATCATTCTGAATCGGGATGGGGAAAATATTCTGAAGTTTGAGACAAAACACCTTAATCAACTGACCTTGCAAAAAAATATTCTTTTTTTTACAGTGTTGTGTTGTGAGTTACTTTTGTCCTGAGCTCCAGAAGGTTTTTCTGAGCTCCAGCCAAACAAACATTTTTTTCTGGTTCTGTCGTAGAGTAACTGAAACATTCGGAGCATTAACATTCCAGTGGAGCATCACAAACCCAATGGATCTTGAACATCACAAACCCCATGCATCTCTCAGAGTATCAGAATGTATTTCAGAGCAACGCTATTCCAATGATTCAAGCGCATCGCAAACCCCATGGAGCAGTCTAATGGATGGATCTCGAAGCAACGCTGTACCAAGTTTTCAGAGAAACACTTGCAGATTCACAATGAACTTTGGAAGACCCCAATGGATTTTGGAGTATGCCAATAGTTTTCAGAGCATTCTCATTCAAAGCATTCCCAGAAACATTCAGGGAATCCCCATGAATATCGGAGCATCGCAAACCCCATGGATCTTGAAGCATCATAAGCCTCAATGGATCTTGGGGGATCACAAACGATGGGTCTCAAAGCATCCTAATGGACTTCAGAGCAATGCTTTTCGAATGAATTTCAGCGTATCACCAGCCCAATCAATTTGAGAGCAATACTATCCTCATGGATTCTGGAACATCGCAAATACCAATAGTTTTCAGAGTAAAGCTATGGAGCATCCATAGGATTCATTGGATTCAGGACCAGTCTATAGAACATTGCAGTGCTGTTAAGAGCAACCCATTGTAGTTCAGAGCATTGATATGATTATGTAACGTGCTCAGTTGAAACATTTTCACTCGACCACAATCAAATGCTCACACAACCCGTGAGTTGTGAACCATGTGTAGACTTGGAAAAGGACAACATCATTAGTCGTACTGGGAAAAATATTCTGGGTTCTGAAGATCTTCATATTCATAATTCTTTTCTACATTCTTAAATGAAGTTCTTTTGTCTCAGGCTCAAGGAAATTTTTCTTAGCCAAAATTTATTTCTGCTTCTGTTCTTGTATCTCTGAAACATTCAAATCATTCTCAGAAACATTTGGAGCATCAACATCTTCGTGGATCACCATCCTAATGGATCTCGGAGAATCATAAGCCCCATGGTTCTTGAATAATCTCAATGGATTTCAGAACAACTCTATTCCAATGGTTTCAAAGTTTCCCAATGGATTTTGAAGTATCTCAATGGATTTCAAAGCATTACAAATCCCATGGAACATCCTAATGCTTTCAGAGGATTGTAAATCGCAATGGTTTTCAAAGCAACTTAAATCCCAATAGTTTTCAGAGCAACGTAAATCCCTATGGAGCAACGCTATCTTCGTGGATTCTGGAGCAGTATAAAGAATCCATTGTAATGCGTTTTCGAGCAACCCAATGAAGTTCAGAGAATGATTGTGTAAAATTATTTGAAACGTTTTCACTCGACCACACAATCAAATGCCACATAACAAGATGAAAATTTTTAATGGTGCATGCTTCGAGGAAATTTTTTTCTTCTCTTTATTGAGTCTTCCGGTTTGGATTTGTGGGTATGATAATTCCATTTCTGAAAATTCCTTGATAAAAGAAAGAATATATTTTGTCTCTTGGTATAGGAGCATGCATTAGCTCTGTTCCAGTGGGTGCTTGTGGTTTTAACACAATTTTCTCATTTCCCTCTACAGATTCATTCAATTTGTTCCTGGTATCCAAAGGGAAATTATGTATTGTGTACTTTTACACCTCTCAAATGAGGCATCAGTTTGGCAGTTTCATTGGGGAACAATCTAATAAAATAATACAATTCTCCAAGACATAAAGTGATTTCCCAATTCGGCTGGCATACGCAATGACTCTAAGCCCCCC